GTTTCCTCTTTTTCTTCGTCCATTGAACCGGGTGCAAATGGGAAGTCTCTACATCTCTTTAACATGCATCTCGAGACTAAAAAGTGAGACGTTATTTCATTATATAACATTATTTCCTATTTTGGGGTTGAATGTGAGTATTGATGATTGATGGTGATGTCATGCTAATATTAAACTTTTGGCACAATAACTGCGCTTCTTTTGCTGAAAGGGTGATCATAAATGTTTTAATTAGACAACACTGGGGGAAAAGAAGATGTTTCTAAGCGCTTTCTGCATATCTCGACTGTTATTTAGTTTTAACAGCTTGATTGAGGATTGTGCCTGAATAATAGATGTTTGGTTTGTACAATTAGTGAATTATTTAATGTTATTGTTACTGTTTCAGATTATATGTGTGTGTTTGAGAAAGAGGAAAAAAAGCCCTGTTTGTTCATCCTCTTCTGGCTATTGGCTGTGACGTCTGAAATGTCATATGAGTCGTCATTATGTAATATTAAATGTCACGTTAGATGTCATTTGGCTGCAAATATCAAACTATTTGTGTTAATATGAGGATGGGATGGTACTGATCATTTAATTTAGATGTAGAACATTCAGGTGTTTGGGGGCTTGTACATTTTTTGATAATGTCTCTTATACTAGGCTCATTTTTTAGTAATAATTCAGTAAACATTTTAATAAATATTTATAAATTTTGTTAGTTTTACAATTAAAGAAAAAAACTAAAGGAAAACATGTTTGTTTTAAATATGTTTTAGATTGTAATTAATTTTTATGATGGCAAAGCTTCAACGATTCAACTCTTGCGTCACATGATCCTTGTAATATTTGATTATATGAGTTGTCAGTAAGCAAATTCCCTCCATTTAACAAATAGTGTTGGATATCACTTGCATTATTATCAGTTTATTTCTAATTGTAATTGATGATTTTTAATTTGTTTATTTACTTGTTTAGTTTAAATATTGTGTTCTGGGAATGACTAATAAGTAAATCCCCTTTACTAAACAAAACAGAATGATTAATTTCACTTTCTATATTGAGTTACAGTATTTATAATTGTGAATCAGGAGAAAAATTATTATATTACATATATAAAACACTTGCTTTTTAATTGATTTATTGTAATTGCAACTTATGATTACATTTCACTTATTATCTTCATTTTTTTAATATCGTGTTTACAAAGGAATTTAAATAGGGAAGCTTTTTATGAAACAATTAGTGCTGAATATCCCTTGTGTTGATTTTTCTGTCCTTTACAGTTGAGTTCTATGTAAATTATTTGAATAGTAAGTCTAAATACATGCATTAATGTTAAAATCATAAGATTACAAGTCTTAAATGTGACTTTTAATACATCAGTCCTCACTGATCAAAAGCAATATTTTTTACACAATGTCAAACCACAACATTGTTTTAACAATTTTTATTAGAAACTGCTGTCATTTAAACTATAAATATATATTCATATAAATATATATAGAGAGATATTCACTAACAAAGATGGTTTCAATGCATTTACAGGGACAACCAGGCATAACAGGAAGCTGTTGCCATCATTGCTGTCAAGAAGGGAGAGGGAACGCTGTCTATCGATGTGCTAGATGACTTAAATGTTCTCGAAGATGACATGGTGATGCCTTCAAAATCCTGGTTCAGTGCACAGACTCTGGTTTTTGCCTTTCACATGAACTTCAAGACTTCTTTTTACCTTCTTAATTTTGTGAAAAGGTAACACTGACTCAATTGATTGATTACATTTGCTCTACATCCACAGACCGTTTGTTTAATACATGATAACTTGTTTTGTTCTAGATATGCTTGACTGAAATAAATATTTAAATAATTTTGGCTTTAAATACCTTATTATTATGTAATTTCTTGTTTACACTTGTTAGTTTTTGCTTTGTTCAAATCTATTTGTGTTCAGGTAACAGATTAACTCCTAACAACTGTATAGCTGCTCAAAAGGTTTGAGGAAACTGACTGCGGCAAACCATTTAAGTTGACTAACTTTCTTCATTTGAGTTCAGTCAACTTAAACCATTTGCCGCAATCAGTTTTCTCAAGCCTTTTGAGCAGCTATGCATTTGTTTTAGACTCGAACACATATAGATTTGATAACTGAATTTAAAGTGTTTAAGTTATTAATAGTCTAAATATTTGGTGATATGAACTCAAAGTATATATGATTCAGTACATATAAGTTTACAGAACTCAAACCCTATGGTCTCAAAACTTAAACGATTTGCCACAATGGGTTTCCTCAAACGATTGGAGTTAACTTATCGAGTTTTACATCGAGTTTTTATTAGAAATAATTTGAATGAAATTATTTATTTTAATTAACTTTCAGTGTTTTAAATATGACGCTTGAACACTGATACAAAACGAAAAACTGTCTTTCGACTCAAACATATAAATAAATAAAGTTAATAAAGAAAACTAGAGCCTCGATCTAAAACAGGGGTGTCCAAACTTGTTCCTGGAGGGCCGCTGTCCTGCATAATTTAGTTCCAACCTCAATAAAACACACCTGATAAATCAAGCTCTGTCCAGGTATACTTGAAACTTCCCGGCAGGTGTGTTAAAGGAAGTTGGAGCTAAACTATGCAGGACATGTGTGTTTATGTACATTTAATCAAAAAGTAGAAGATGAAAAATCAACTTCCGGCCATTTTGGGGTTGGCAGTAGATGCTAACCTTTCAGAAATGGTCCGAAAGGCTTTCGCTTTTACTACAACTAGTAAGACATCTCCTCCTTTTAAAGTGGAAACACGTCTCTGTTGATGCCCGGATAAATTAAGTGTTTACTTGCATTAAATTCTGCACTTACTGGTTCTTTATAGACTCTTTGACAAGGTGTGGCTCCCCTATTTAGATTACCTGCTGGCTAACTCTCTTAATTCTTAAGCTGAGCAATAATAGATGAATACAATTTAATTTGGTTTGATTTATTTTGTTTTATTATAAATAATTTGTATGAAATTATTTATGTTGATTAACTTTCAGTGTGACGCTTGAACACTGATACAAAACGAAAAACTCTCTTTTGACTCATATGTATAGATAAATACAGTTAATAAAAAAAACTAGAGCCTTGATCTAAAACAGGGGTGTCCAAACTCAGTCCTGGAGGGCCGCTGTCCTGCATAATTTAGTTCCAACCCAATTAAACACACCTGAAGCAGCTAATCAAGCTCTTTCCAGGTATACTTGAAACTTCCAGGCAGGTGTGTTGAAGGAAGTTGGAGCTTAACTATGCAGGACATAGTTTTATCTGAGTATGTGTGTGTGTTCATTTCATCAAAAAATAAAAGATGAAAAATCCACTTCTGGCCATTTTGGGGTTGGCAGTAGATGCTAACCTTTCAGTAATGATCTTAAAGGCGTTAGCTTTTATTACTTTACTAGTAAGACATCTCCTCCTTTTCAAGTGGAAACACGTCTCTGTTGATGCCCGGATAAATTAAGTGTTTACTTGCATTAAATTCTGCACTTACTGGTTCTTTATAGACCCTTTGACAAGGTGTGGCTCCCCTATTTAGATTACCTGCTGGCTAACTCTCTTAATTCTTAAGCTGAGCAATAATAGATGAATACAATTTAATTTGGTTTGATTTGTTTATTTTACTTATTAATTATGTTTTAGTGTTTTCATTGGGAGGTTATAGGCTGTTGAGGAAGGGAAGTGTTTATTTGGGGGAGTGATAGTGTTAAATGAATGATTTGATTGATATTTGATGTAGAAAACCTAATAAAAGCTACTAGAAATAAAAATAAAAGATGCTTTTGACTTGAGAGGACTATCAACAGGGTAAATCCTTTTCAAAGCCGCCTCAAAAAAAAAAAAAAAGGCATTTAAAGTGTCCCCTTATGCAGCGCCCTCACCTCTATCCCAGAATTCCCTTTGTCCAAAAGTTTGAGCCGAGAACAAACTTCCCCCCACATCTTCAAAACCTGATCACTTTGCTTTATTCTGATCAATGTGCTCTGCGTTTCTCCTCTCGGTGTCAGGAGATAAAATAAAAAAAGCAGGAGGAAGGGAGTTAGGGATTGGAGGGAGACGGCGTACTTTTTTAGATGCCAATTGTATGTGTCTCTGTGTCTGCCTCACCTGTGCCGCTTTGATCATAGCTGAGCATGGAGTGGCGTTTGATTCCAGGGCTACTTTGACAGCTCGCAGGCTGGCAGAAAAACCTCTCGGATGACTGGAGATCAGAGGAGACAGGCTGGAAAGCAGAAGTCCAGCTGAGAGAAGATCAGAAGAGGCACAACTTCAACCAGAGCTATTGTGAAGGAGCGTAATGGCTTAGATAACTTTTTCCCCTCCGTCTTCTCTCTTTCTTTTTCTTGCAAAAACTTACCCTTCAGAATTTTGAATTGCCCACTTTAAGGCTTTGTCTTGCTTTGACAAAAGAGGCATGTTTTTTTTTTCCTTTCTGCCTCGTCCTGGAGAGCCGGGTCTGTTTAAATACTGCCAAGTCCTCTTGTTTTAAGTGCACACTGTGAAGAGAAAAATACCTGGTCCCACTTTATATGAGTTTCCTTAACTATTATGTATATGTATGTATTATAGACAATATATTTAGGTGTATTTGAACAGAACAGATTTAATAAACAGTTATATTCATTAAATAATTGTTTGGTCACCGAACATATTCGAAAATAGAGAGATATTACAGGTAAAATCATGCAAAACATTTACAAACTGCTAAATTTCAACAATATTATATATTTATTTTGTGTTTCTCTCGATTTATTTTCATCTTTTTAATTTTTAATTTAATATTTTCTCCTTGGCAGTACTAATTTTCGACCGTTATCGTAAGTTATTTTGGTAGATTAGCTCCAGATTAGGCTGTAGTACTGACTAATACATACACAAATATAATAATGTATAGCATCCCATAGGGAGTATTGATAATATCACTCATATATATTGAGCACTGTACTTGCATTTAGATTAATCATTTGGTAAAGCACACTTAATATAAACTAGGACCAAATGCAATTATAAAAAGGACACAAATGCATCAAATCAAACCAAAAACCTTCATTAAAATATGCCATTTTTTCATTTGTTGCATCAAATAATAAAATGAAATGAGGCACATATTTATATGCTAATCAATTGTACATTTCTAAAACAAAAACAAAATGACTACAAACAAACCAACTTACTTTTGCTTTAACCAAAAAGGCATGTTTTCTTTTTCTGCTTTGTCTTGGAGAGCCGGGTGTGTTTAAATACTGCCAAGTCCTCTTGTTTTAAGAAGTCCACACTGTAAAGAGAAAAATACCTGCTCTCACTATATGTGAGTTTCCTTCACTATTATGTACAGTGCTCTGGATAAATGAGTACATGCCAGTTTGAAAATGAATATTTATGAAGCATTTCTCAGAGAATATAAACAACATATTTTGGTGCATTTAAACAAAACAGATTTATTAAACAGTTATATTCATTAAATTAAGAGCCTGGTCACCGAATATCTTTGGAAATAGAAAGATCATACATTTAAATTCATGTGAAACATTTAAAACCTACAAAATTTCCACAGTATTTTATAGGTTTTTTGTTTCTCTTGATTTTTTTTCTCAGTTTAATTTTTAATTTAATATTTTCCCCTTGTGTGTACTAATTTTAGACCGTTATCGTAAGTTTTTTTGTGTAATTAGCTCCAGATTTGGCTTCAGTACTGACTAATACGTACACAAATATAATAATGTAATAATAATAATAACTCCTTACATTTATAAAACGGTTTTCTGTTCTCCTCATCCACCACCATGTACAGCATCCTATAGGAAATATTCATTTAAATGAGTGATTGATGAGAGACGTACTCGTATATCAGGTCTGTAGTCAGCCTGGTGAATGGGGTGGATCTTTTTGCATATATTAGCCTTTTTTCTATTTAATTATGAGGTTTAAATACTGCAGTTTAGTGACTTTTTAAGCTTTTTTTTTTTTTTTTGCTGCTTTAGCTTGTCGGATGGTCCTCATAACTGCACTTTTTAATGTACCAAAAGCATTTCCTAAAGATTTACATCACATGTTATTAGAAAGAAACTTTTAATAATAATAAAAACGTAGACTATTGTCATTAATTACTAGGCTAATTACAAACTGGCCAGCACATTCAACAGTAAGAATTTGGGATGCTGAATTTGGCACAGTGTGACTTCAGTGTGACTTAGGCGTGCTAAATTTGCTGTCCCAAATTAGGTACCAAGAGCCAATACAGGGTTCTGCTTGATCTTAAAAACTTTGTTGATGGGTTATTTTCACAATTTATTATGGCTGGTAGTCAAAACAGTCAAATAAGTTCATGTATGGGACAATCTCTGGACTTTTGTCAGTGAGGGATGGGTCTTTCAAACCGCCTGAACCCCCCTGGCTACAGGCCTGTATATGCTGAGCACTCAACTTGCATTTAGATTAATGCAAGATTAAAGCACACTTAATATAAGCTGTGATCAAAAGTAATTATAAAAAGTACAAAAATGCCTCCGATCAAATCCAAATACAGTATGAGAGAGAAAAAACTACTGATGCCATTTCTTCATTTGTTGCATCAAATAACAAAATTAAATAAGCCACATTTTCAGACACGTCTACTTACCAATTGTACATTTCTAAAACACAAACATATTAATAATTATAGATAAAACAACCAAACATCTTTAAAACTTACCCTTCAGAATCCTCAATTGCCCACTTTTAGTCTTTGTCCTGCTTAAACCAAAGATGCATGTGTTTTTCTTTCCATCTTGTCCTGAAGAGAATACAATAACAAAAAAAAGACAGGAATATATTCAAGTGTTTATTTCTCAAACAAAAGCTTTATAATAATTATGACAACATCAAATATTTAAAACTTACCCTTCAGAATCTTGACTTGCTCACTTCAAGGCTTTGTTGTGCTTTACCCGAAGAGGCCAGTTTTTTTTTTTCTTTCTGCCTCGTCCTGGAGAGCCGGGTCTGTTTAAATACTGCCAAGTCCTCTTGTTTTAAGTGCACACTGTGAAGAGAAAAAGATATGGTCCACTTTAAATAAAGTGTCCTTAACTAGTATGTGCTTGCATTCAATATAATTTAGACAATGCAGAGGTGATTCAAAAAGTACCACAACTTTAAAAATCGAGAACTCTGCAAAGAAGAAAAAGAGAGCTAAGCTTTAAGCTTCTTTCTATCATCGATTTAGCGAAGCTCTGAAGTTCTTCGCAATGATTAATTACCCAAGCTTCCATCATGTTTCTTTAATTAAACACAGATTTTCAAACTTGTGGTATACTTTTTGAATCACCCTGTATAATTTAGTACAATGCACTTAATATAAACTAGGAGCAAATGTAATTATACAAAAGTACAAAAATGGCTCAAATTTAATATGAAGTCAGAATTATTAGCCCCCCTGAATTAGCCCCTTGTTTATTTTTCCCCCAATTTCTGTTTAATTGAGAGAATATTTTTCAACGCATTTTTAAACATAATACTTTTAATAACTCGTCTCTAATAACTGATTTATTTTATCTTTGCCATGATGACAGTAAATAAAATTTGACTAGATATTTTTTAAGACACTTCTATGCAGCTTAAAGTGACATTTAAAGGCTTAACTAGGTTGGTTAGGTTAACTAGGCAGGTTAGGAGAGTAATTGGGCAAATTATTGTATAACAATGGTTTGTTCTGTAGACTTTAGCAAAAACATATAGCTTAAAGGGGCTAATAATTTTGTCCCGAAAATGGTGTTTAAAAAATTAAAAACTGCTTTTACTCTAGCCAAAATAAAACAAATAAGACTTTCTACAGAAGAAAAAATATTATCAGACATACTGTAAAAAATTTCCTTACTCTGTTAAACATCATTCAGAAAATATTTTAAAAAGAAACAAGAGTTTAAAGGAGGGGGCTAATAATTCTGACTTTAACTGTATATATATGTGTGTGTGTGTGTGTGTGTGTGTGTGTGTGTGTGTGTGTGTGTGTGTGTGTGTGTGTGTGTGTGTGTGTGTGTGTGTGTGTATGTGTGTGTTAAACAAGCTTCATTAAACTACTGATTTAATTTATTACCATTATTTATTTCTTTGTTTGGCAAAAACAACGAAAAAGAGACTTGTATATTTCTAAAACAAAAGCATTATAATAATTATAACAACAAATATTTATAACTTACCCTTCAGAATCTTTACATGCCCACTTTAAATGCTCACTGTGAAGAGAAAATTAATGGACCTACTTTATATAAAGTGGCCTTAACTAACTAAGTGCTTGCAATTAATATAATTTAGACAATGTATAATTTAATGCACTTTATATAAACTAGGACCAAATGTAATTATATAGTACAATAATGGCTCAAATTAAATCTATTATGTAAAAAAGCTTCATTGATTTAATTTATTACTATTATTTATTTGTTTGTTTGGCATAAAATAACAAAAAAGAGACTTGAATATTTCTAACGCAAAACCATTATAATAATTAACAACAAATATTTATAACCTACCCTTCAGAATCTTGACTCCAAGGAGTTGTCTTGCTATGACAAAAGCAAGGCTTGTTTTTGCTGCTGAGCTCTGAAGAGAAATAATAGATGGACACACTTTATATTAAGTGGTGTTAACTACTACCTACCTGTATTATATTAATAGTTTGGTGCAGTGCATGTAATGTAAAGTAGTATACATATACAGTACCCATACTACCACCCTTAAACCCACCCATATCCAACCTCAAAAGTACAAGAAGGGTTTTGCAATACATATTTATCTAAGTAATTAGTGGTTGAGGCAACTTAATATAAAGGTGTAAACATGCTACCATACATTGAAATGCATGTGTAGACTTTATTAGATAGCATATTTAACTTTGCCTTGTATGTGTGTAATATTTAAGCTTAAAGTGTGTTTGTTTAATGAACAATTACTATGAAACTCCATCCTCTACATCTCCAATAGTATAAATCATACAGAGGGCTCCTGTGGTGTAATGTTTCCCTCTGGTGGAGGAACTGAATAAATGCTTATTGAGTATGGGTTTGAGTAGAATTATAATATTGTTGTATCTGAAAATCAATGATATTCCTTCAAATGTTTATTTCCCGAGGACGTTTGCTGTCTTAAAAGGAAATATAAACATGTTTAGTTTCACATGATCTATCTTCCATTTAAGCAGAAATGCCTTAATATGACGTCATTTAAAATGGCTATTCCAGTTTATTTTAGCCTTATATTAATAATAATGATTGTACTATTAGTGCTTTTGTTGTTGTTATGATAGTTTGGTTTGTAAACAATCTTCCTATATTTAACAATTCTATTATAATAAATGGAAATATAATGTTGAACAACGCTGAAAAAAAGTGTTGCAAGCAGAACTGTTGCAAACAATTTATTTGTGTTGAATTTAAACAAACAAATTAAATTTAATAATGTTCAACTTAATTTGTTTGTTTAAATTCAACACAAATAAATTGTTTACAACCACTTAACATAAAAAAATTGAGTAAATCCAAGGAATCATCTTTGAACATTTTTTTTTCAGTGAACGTTATGGATTATGTATTAAAAGACTGGCTAAAGTTGATGAATATGCAAATCAGGGGTCACCAATCTCGGTCCTGGAGGGCCGGTGTCCCTGCAGGGTTTAGCTCCAGCTTGCTTCAACACACCTGCCTGAGTGTTTCAAGTATGCATATAAGACCTTGATTAGCTGTTCAGGTGTGCTTGATTAGGGTTGGAGCTAAGATCTGCAGGACTCCGGCCCTCCAGGAACAAGTTTGGTGACCCCTGATCATGATTAGGTAACAGGACTTGTAATTAAAAGGGTTATATCTATATTTGTTATTTCATTTTGTGTTAAACTTACATTAAGCAATGCTTTTTAAGGGATTATTAGGATGTTTATTTATTATATTTTTATTAGTATTCATGTATTCTTTTGAATAACACTGGATTAAAGACTCCTAAAAAGCTTTATTGCGCACTGTTAGCTCTGCGTCCCACATTTTAATAGTTTGTTGTTCATATTAATAAAGCATATCTAAAACAAGGTTCAATTCATCAAGCTCATAAGAGTCTTGAGTTTAAATCCCATTCATTCATTTCCTTTTTGCTCAGTCCCTTTATTAATCTGGGGTCTCCACAGTGGAATGAACCGCCAACTTATCCAGCATATGTTTTACACAGCGGATGCCCTTTCATCACACACATACATACACACTCATTCTCACACATACATTACGGACAATTGTAGCTTACCCAATTCACCTGTACGTGTCTTTGGACTTATGGGGGAAACCGGAGCACCCGGAGGAAACCCACACGAACACTGGGAGAACATGCGAACACAGAAATGCCAACTGACCCAGCTGAGGCTCAAACCAGGAACCTTCTTGCTGTGAGGCGATCGTGCTACCCACTATGCCTCCTATAGTTGTTTATATGTTAAATTGTTGGTATTATATGCAACAAGTGGCCCTAAATGCCAGCATGCAGGGTGAAAGCCACAGTGGCTTAGTGGTTAAACATGTTGTCTACCGATCAAGGTGTGATATGGGTTCAAATCCACCCAACTGAAGATTTTATTTACTTAAAAATTACATTTGTGTTAAAACTTTTCAAGAAGTCAAAGGTCTTTCTATGTGGAAAATGTCAGCTCAGATCTCAGAAGTAGGTCAGACAAGTAAACATTACAAGATGACTCATCTTGCACTACACCAAATCTGTCCAATCAAAATCGTTCTACAGAAACTCCGTCCCCCAAATGTTCACGTGACTGACTCAGCACAACAAACGCACTTTGTTTACTCTCCGCTGGAAATCTGACATCAGAAAACGCTTTTGTAGTGGATGTAAAGGCGTGTGGATGTGGAGGAGCGTCAGGTGAAAGATGTGCAGCAGACACGCGTGTATCGCCACTACTGCAGATCCGCTCTCACTGTCATTCAGCTGCAGAAGAGGAGGAGAGAGAGAGCAATGACTGAACACAAACACCACAGCAACATCACTACAAACTTTACAGCATAGACAAACTCTCAGGACTTGACACACAAGCGCTTCTTCACGCCGAAAGAAAGACACTTGCAGGTGAGTCGCGTTGCTCTCCATTTCTGCACTTAGTGTGGCTTTTCTTCGCTGTCTGGCTGTAATATCTGCTGTTGACTGACATTATGAGTCTGGCACTGAGCTGTCATCTGCTGGAGCTCAACTTGACGCCAGTAAAACAGTATGAACGTAATCAAATGTTGTCAAGGACTCAAAAATGTAAATCTGACAGCGAAGGTCGCTGATGCCGCCTAGTGGAGCAGATGGAAACTGCGCTTTTCAGCTGAGCGTATACAGGGGTGGGTTTAGTGATTATTTGGGGGTCCTAAGCAATTCCAGCAATGGAGTCCAACACTCCTAAAATGCACCCTTTCTAATTTTATTTAATTTTAATTTACAGTTCAGTGAAGCAATCCAGAATCCACTAGAGCTGTGAAATGAATCAATGCAACTCAGAGTAATTAATGTAATTATTTATAAATGATGTTACTTTCCCGACAAAACAAAGCGTAATCTCACAGACATGTCTTAATTTTAGTTTATTTCTCTGTTAAAACAAAACAAATATAATTTATAATATAAAACATAGTCTTGGCTTGTGGTTTTCAAACGTTTTTCACCAAGTATCACCTCAGAAAAAAATTGTCCCTCCAAGTACCACCATGTTGAGCAGTATTGAAATACAGTAGCGTAGCAGGCCCAGTAAAGCAGCTACAGCTCTGCACAGTTTTAAAATGTGGCATATTAACTACTATTATTAATAATATTTATTATTATCAGCCATTTTAAACCTTGTCAATAGTTTAGACATTAAAACTGTACTGTGCTTATATGTAAAAATCCGAACAAACAAAATAAAATGTCGACGTTTAAATTAAAATTTGCTTTTTAAAGTTTGTTAAAAAAGATAGGTTACTGTTCTTAAAAAGTAAAAAAAAAAAAAACTTTACTTAAATGTACAATGTTAACCTATAGTAACCTATTCATCAGCACCTGGAAATGTTGCTTGGACCTCATAAATATAGGCTATATGTCATCAAATTCATATAGAAACCATTTTTGATAAATTTTGAAATATATATATTGCATGTTCATATGACATATTTGATTCCTCCGTGTACCACCAGAAGAAAGCCCACATGTGGTGGTACACATACCACAGTTTGAGAGCCACTGATCTAGGCTATCACTGACATCTTAAAGGTTACCAAGAAAATTATAATAATAATAATTTGAACATTAATAATACAATAATAATTTGAACATTGCCACCATTAAAACCAGCAAATATAATGGTGTTTTGGGGCTCAACAGTGCTAAAATGCACCATTAATATATTCATTCATCAAATTTATTTGTTTCAATTTATTCATTGAACTTTTTTTTATTTAGACTTTTTTTTACATCACATAAAACGTCTTTTCTATGTTCCATCTTAATGCAATTGGTTCTCTTAAAATTGATTTACAATTTTGTTTTTTATAAATTTAAAACATATATATATAAATTTGGCAGCTGGACTGCTCTATGATTGGGGGGTCATAGACAAAATTTAGCAGATGTAATAATAATATTTTATTTTATGATATTAATATTACATAACATTAAATAAGTATAATATTATATTTTAAATAATATTTAATTATGTTAAAATTGTATTTGTTTGACTCTCACCATACAAAATATGATAGAAAACTATGTTATTTATTGTTTATAGGTATAATTTATACTTCTAGATTTATTGGAGGACCCTAGATTTCCTTATTAGTTAAATCCGCCCCGTTTTATAAATACTGTAATATTATATGGAAGTATCCACATTTGAATGAAACGTCGTTTAGTTGCTTTCAAACTGATGGGCATTTTTCTAACATGTCCCACATAAAAAAAGACACACAACAACAACAAAAAAACACGCAGTTAGAGCAATTTATAGTAAATACTATTTACAATATTAAACTTCTATGTTGTTACTGAAACTTTTACGTCAAGCTGCTTTTACACAATCGACATTAAAGCACTATAGAAATAAACATGAATTAATTAATACTGTAGTAAAGCACTTTAATTAATCTATTGTGAAAATACTATATTTTACAATGCACCACATATTACTTTCTTAAAGCACACTACTATATTTACTACAGTTTATTGCAGTTAATACTATAATATGCTGTAGATTTTATTAACCAGTGTTGTAAAAACCGTAATAAATCAAATGTATTTACTACAAATGAATGTAGTATTACTTTAATGTGGGTTTACTTGATTTGTTTAACCCAGTTAAACCAATGTTTGGATATTTTTAAAGTAACATTGATAACACATTACAGTTTATCAGGTCACTTTAGTTAATACTACAATTTGCTGTATCCTTGATTAATACACTTTGCAAATACCAATCGCTATAGTACTATTTTCAGGTGGGTTTATGTGATTTCATATGGAGGTTTTTGGTGTTTTTAAAGTGGGATTAATATCATAAGATTGTTCAGATGCTGTGTTTTGTCTAATTTATTCTCGGTAAAGCACACATATTTATTTACATTAGTTAATCAGCCTTTGCTGCTTTAAAGCACACCCCTGCACAGCTTTAATCATTAATAATAATGGACATTCTCCAACCATACAGGCTTATTAAGGTACGTTTATTTTATTTATAATAATTCCAATTTAGGTCAATTATGTTTTAATAAATAAAGCAAAAAAAATGTGAAGAAAAGTTTACAATTGAAGATTTTTAGCTGACATATTTCACTGAAACTGTGCTTGATTCATTAAACCCAAGTGAATAAATACTAGAGCTCTGACATGAACACATAATGCAGGCAAAACAACAACACTACTGGCTCTTGATAATTCCTTACCGTTTATTAAATAGTCTGATCTCAGCTTTATTAGAGTACACACATTTGAGACAATAGATATACAGCTAACAATAATTAATCATTTTGTTTGCATCACTTCAGATGATTATGATTATGCATAAGTATTCTTTTCTCATTGTAGTGCACCTGATTTGTGGACCACTGGTTCCAGTTCATCCACTATGTCCAGCTCTATTGGTAGGTGTATACATCACTTCACATATCTTTGCACTTTTACACTCAGCTATTTTTAGATATACAGAATTGTGCAATTGTTTGTTGTTTAGTAAATTATCATGCAAAACGAGTTTGTTAGTAAAATACTAAAAGTTAAATGCAAACAGTTGATCTGATGAAAATAACCAGCATTCCTGGAGCCAAATTATATCCTAAAACTGTATATATGTACAATAAGTGTAATTCATCAAAATCTCCACACGAGGGTGAAACCTTTCATTTCATTATTATAGATTGGCAGCAGTGCAGTTCGCAGAGATGTCCACAGGAGGGCGAATATACTATAATAAGTCCATTAGATTTGCAAAAGTGTAATTCATAAATATTCCCACAAGAGGGTGAACTTTTTTATTTTATTTTCAAACAGCAGCAGTGCAGTTCACAAAAATCCCAACAGGAGGGCGAATATTTCAAATTGAGTAGATCTGCAAAGGTGTAATTCAGAAATATCTCCACAAGAGGGAGTACAGTTTAAATTCACTCTATTAGATCTGCAAAGGTGTCATTCAAAAACGTGATAGGCACATGAGTGTGCATTAATTAATGCATATGTAATATTTGTATATTTGTCTAATGTAAGATCAGATATTCAGTGTGTGTAATCATGTGTTTATTTGTGTGTCGACTCTACAGGATCAGTGACGTGTTGTGGACTGTAAGCCTGTTGAACAGAAGCAGAGACGTGTGGACAGACACTGACTGTACTGATGATGATCATCTGCTGCTGCACAGGTGATGTAGATCATGTGTGATTGTAACATTTGTGGGATGAAGGACCAACATTTTTATACAATTCATTTTAATATTTTTCAGGCTGCAAAGACGTATAACCCCTGCTGGACATTGCTCTAGACGACTGAACTGGTTTCCCCCCTTCTTCAGGCGCGCCTCACACTCACTCACATCACAGAGATCTGGCTTGGATCAAGCCAGCAATCCCTGAAGCCGTGGGGCAGCGCTCTTACCACAGAGCCACAGATCTCCTGACTGAACACCTGCTGGAACTGATGTGTCAATGTTGACCTGTTTCAATAAAAAAAATTATAAGTCAGATTTGAACTCTTGTCTTTATGAGTCTCTTCCTCAGAGAACTTGTGTTTATCCCCTCACACATCAATAACTTCACCTTAATATTCATCATTTGAGTGTCCTTGTTGTATGAAAACACTGGAAAGTCAGCATTACCACTGACTGAGGTGGGATTTGAAACTGTCTCCATATCAGCAACACTGCATCATGTCTGATTGCGTCTCTCCAGGTGTTCACAAGCTTTTGTTGAATATAATAAGCTCAGTTTGCATTGGCCAAAGTGAGGTTTGAACCCGGGTCTCCTTGATCAAAGCTCAACACTTTATGACCTGAGCCACTGAGTCTAGATGGTGTATAAGATGTCAGAATAGGGCTTTATTACTATCTTAATTTTAAACAAAGTTTGGCAGATAATTTTTTGCAATTTGGGTCACAAAGGACCTTTGATAGTTGTCAAGTCCTGTGGTTCACTGCATAAGTGTCTGACTGCCATACAGAAGGGTGAAGGTTTGAATCCCACACTTTGCTTACTTTACTGTCATTTGCTGGGATTCAGTCAGACAAAGTGGCCTTAGCAGCACAAGAGCCATGATGGGCTAGTGGAATAACACATGTGTGATACATACAAGTTACGGCAGAGACTTGGGTACGAAACCCACCTCAATGAGTAACCCACACCAAAAACAGGAGAGTAATTGGTGTGGGAGCACAACAAGAATAAGCACTTTTGTTTTTTGTAACTGAATCAGCAGTAAAGAGCAGTAACAGGGCTTGGATTTGAACCCAGGTGTGCTGTGAGAACTTCACTTCTCAGGCTGTGTGCTCTGACCACTACACCATCAGCACACACACAAACCAACACTTCTTTCTCCAATGTGAGGATGACCACATTTACACACTTTGAAAAAAAAAACTAAATAAGCACAAATAATTAATATTAAATGTAAATTATTCAAAATTAATGTAAACTGCATCATATGCTAATATATTATTACATTTCAGTGTTCAAAATGTGAAAAACCTGCTTATTCTTCAATTAAACACATCAACCATATGTTAAATGATCTTACAGCTGCTTGTGGGGCTTTAAATGTCACTAAACACAATTAAACACTGTAAATATCATCATTTACCTCTAAAGTCTCATCATACTGTACTGATGACTCTACACCAAATCTGGCCAATCACATGCTTTCTACAGAAAGTCCCTCCCCCAACATACACGCGACAGAGCAGCAGCACAACAAACACACTTTCTGGACTCTCTACTGGAAATATGAGCTCATAAATACCTTTACTGGAGCTGTGAATCCGCCTGGATGTGGAGGAGTGTGTGGAGGAGCGTCAGCTGTTGAGAACAGGTCAAAGATCTGCTACAGAAACACAACAAACACACGTGTGTATCTTCACTGCTGCAGAGGAGAGAGAGAGAGAGCAATGACTGAACACAAACACTACAACAACATCACTACAAACTAAACCAACAGAACAAAGTCACTTACAGGTGAGTCGCGTTACTCTCCATTTCTGCACTTGCTGTGGCTTGTCTTTGCTGTCGGGCTGTAATATCTGCTGTTGACTGACATTATGAGTCTGGCACTGAGCTGTCATCTGCTGGAGCTCAACTTGACGCCAGTAAAACGGTGTACCTGTGTTGATCTGTCGCTGTTGTCAAAGGTGTTCAGGCTTAAAGAGCAGCTCGCTGATGCCGCCTAGTGGAGCGGATGGAAACTGCGCTTTAATGCGCACACCTAACCCCACCTGTTACTGTGACGTCACTAGCTCCATTGAGTGCATTGTGTCTGACATTGTAAATCTGAGATATGCAGCTTCAGCTTACAAATCCGAGTCAGCATCCAGATACTATTGGAGAAAGACAGATCAAATCTGCTTGCTGCAGAGTTCACAAGATGTTTTTCATTCACTCGTTGCGTTTTCATACAGCAACAGAAATACGTATAATTCAAAACTTTAACGGCTTACTACAATATATGATCTTTAAAAAGCAGCCAGTCATCTTTATGAGGCGTTTATGATGATATTTCATTAAAAGTGTGTTTATTGATGAGAGGCGCATTCATTACATACAGGCTAAATGATAATCTGGAGTGAAGAAAAGGGGAGAAAGTCACAAGCTTTACAGTAAATATTCATGTTTTGCATTTCATTTATTAATATTTGATGTCAAGTCTGTAATCATCGGCTTTTGGGAATTGATTTATGTTACATTCATATTTGTTTGATATTTTCACATTGTTAATCAAGAATTTGAGCTGTTTTTGAGCTCTGTGGCTGTGTGAGGATTTTCAGGCCTAAGAAATTCTTTCATTCGTAACTTCACAAGCAATGCATTGGATTAGGTTATCTAGACTGTGCAGTGTTATTTTACATTTGATTATTCAGTCACTGTACCCGAGTACTGTGAAGGGTGTCTCACACTTGATCGGCCCCTCAGTGCTGCAACGTGGCGTGCACATGACAGTTGGAGGTATCGCACACCAGACGCGCACAGTGGGATGTTATTTAATAAGAAACGACTCAGATGTCTCTCTGTGCTGTGGCAGATATATGAACTATGTCCTAAATTGTAGCTGGGCGCCATGAGCAGCCGCAGACTTGCAACGCCGCTTATCTATGCCTGTAGATTGTTTATTAAATTTATGCAGATGTTCTCCCCTACAGAATCATCCCCATCCATCTAAAATGATTAATGCTGTACACATAGAGCCGTTCAGGTCATCTGGGGTTCGTTCTTCGTAGCTCGCTTATATGATCTAATATTATTTGGCAGATCCAGGATCTTTTAATCTTGATAACTGATCTCTCGCTAATTTGGTTCTTCAAACAAGTTCGCGAATCAGATTAGAATGTCTGGATGAACTGATCTGAGATCGCTGCGTGTGTTGTGAAGGACAGATCTATCAATCCTCTAAATCATGATCAGCAATGCAACGATTGGCTGACGGCACAGCAGCGTAATGACATCATCTGATTAATATTCAATTATCCATGTGAGCAAAATTACATCAAATTAGCAGTAAACGGCTTGTTAAATATGACACGCAATAACCTTCCACATTTGTTATGAGCTGCAGGCTTTACACTTTCATGCGTCAAGAGTATTCATCATGTATTTCAATGCAAATCAGTGTATTTAGCTCTACATTTAGAAAAGATTTTCTTTATTATAGTAGCCGTTTCTTAATCGGTGTAAATAATAACTGGTTGTTTACAAAAGCATTTTCATATTGGTAAAGGCGTCTGCAACTTTTGTGAAGCATCAAATCACCGGCATATTAACTATCAAAACATGTTTATGACTGCATAAATGTATTATTGCTTTAAAAAAAGTCACATATTGTGCATTTCTATTATACACAATTTGTACTAAAGTGATCTAAAAAGTTCATATCAATAAGTTTTCTATTTGCACCACAAGGTGGCAGTCTTTGTACTTTCATTTCGAGGGTGCAGATTGCATACGTTTTATTAATATGTATAACTAAATTTATTTTATTAATGACTATAACTTTATATATATATATAGTTAAAAAATATGTACCATTTTCCCAAGTGTATATAACTACTACTGTAAGAAAATATCAGAATTCGGAACACTTTCTGTATTATCTTTGCTTGAACTGAGCCGATCTAATCCTGTTTATATGAATTGAACCTGCTCCCGATCAGGTTTAACCTAGCAGAACTGTTGCTATGACAACAACTCTCAGATCAGCTTTGAAGAACGAAACGATCCTGGATCGTGTCAAATCGTCAATATCCAAATCCAGCTAACTGAGTAATCCACGTACAAAGAACGGACCCCTGGTGAATTTGTACTCGTATCACAATATAAATCACAGAAAACTAAATATCACAACGTGACATATTTCCAATATCGTGCAGCTCTACAAAGAACCACCTGTTTCATCCTCAAGGCTGTTTCTTGTACTCTCAGCCGTCTTATTGGAAACTGGTTAATACTGGTGTAATCTACATGCAGACTGGCAGCTGCTGCCACACAGAAAGTCTCTCCTGCACACAAAGGAAATGACTTTAAACAGAATTAACACATAACATGACAAATAACTCAGGAAACAGTTGTTTCCAATCCAGCAGGAATCCAGATCCACTCGAGAGCTCTCCATGACCTCTGACCTGGTTTAGTAGATCCTGAAAACAGATTTGACAGAGACGGACGCTTTAACTGAACACATCACTACATTAGGTCATGTTTAACTTCAGTCACTGATCAAAATCATGTCAAAGATTAAAAACTGATTCAAATAATCACAATAATAAAGTCAACAAGAACAGATTTTGATCTTTCCTGGAACAGATGAAGACAGAAAACGACTCGCTTCAACATGCAGCAGATCTGTGCTCATGATGACCTCAGTTTACTGTCTCACAGTCATCTGAAGACCCCCATAAAAACTGTCTAATGTTTAGCATTTGATGATATTTCTTTATTTAATAATAATTCCTTTTTTGTTTAAACCTCAAGACTTCCTGCTTCCTCTTACACATTAAAATGTTTGTGGTTGTCAGCATCAGTGGAGGAAAATGAACACGACTACAGCTGCGCCACAGAAAGATGAAATCTCAGTGCTTTACATTTGCTGAGCTGAAGTTCAGGAAAAACATCAACACAAACTTTCAAATCAACACATCTGCAAAGGTGTAATTCAGGAAAATCTCCACAGGAGGGCGACATGTTTAAACTTATTCAATTAGATTTATAGTGGTGTCTTACACCAAAATCACCACACGAGGGCGAATATTTTAAATCCATCAAATTGGCAGTGGTGTAATTCAGAAATATCTCCACAGGAGGGAGAAACTTTCTTATTTTAGAGCGGCAGCAGTGCAGTCCACAAAAATCCCCACAAGAGGGCGAATATTTCAAATTCAGTAAATTCAAGATTTGCAAAAGTGTAGTTCAGAAAAAATCTCCACAGGAGGGCGCAATATTTGATACTGATCTAATATTTGTCTATTTGTCTATTGTTAGATCAGATATTCAGTGTGTGTAATCTTGTGTTTATTTGTGTGTTGACTCTACAGGATCAGTGAAGTGTTGTGGACTGTAAACCTGTTGAACAGAAGCAGAGACGTGTGGACAGACACTGACTGTACTGATGACGATCATCTGCTGCTGCACAGGTGATGTAGATCATGTGTGATTGTGTGTGTGTGTTTGTCTTGCACATGTCGGTTACCATCATTTGCTTTGTGGAGGGTCACTCCTCTAGAAAGTAAATGATGGTAACCGAAACGGGTGGGGAAGGGACGAAGGTCCAGAAATTTTATACAGTTCATTTTAAATTTTTTGGCAGGCTGTAAAGTATAACCCCTGCTGGACACGGCTCTGGAAGCTCCAGGGGGAGACCGAACTGGTATCCCCCCTTCTTCAGGCGCGCCTCACACTCACTCACCATTCACACATATCGCAGAGTTCTGGCTGGGACTGATACCAGCAACCCCTGAAGCCGTGGGGCAGCGCTCTTACCACAGAGCCACAGATCTCCTGACTGAGCACTTGCTGGAACTGATGTTGGACTGCTGACCTGTGTGTGAGCTGATTCAATAAAACAAGATAAATGTCAGATCTGAACTCTTGTCTTTATGAGTCTCTTCCTCAGAGAACTTGTGTTTATTCACTCATCAACCATCATTAGTTTCACATCAGCGTCCATCATCATGAGCTCCTGGTGAACATAATGAGCTTTAGTTGGACATTAGCCATAGTGAGGTTTGAACCCGGGTCTCCTTGATTAAAGCTCATCACATTATGACCTGAGCCACTGAGTCTAGATGGTGGAGTAGATATCTGAATGGGGCTTTATTACCAATTTCATCCTGACCAAGGTGTGGCAGATATTTCTTTGTATTTTGGCTCACTAAATCATTATCACCAAATGTCAAGCTCTGTGGCTCAAAGGATGAGCGTTCGACTGCTATTTAGAAGTGTGAAGGATCGAATCTCATTTCTGCTAGTCTGAGGTACAAGTCAGACGTGAACTCTTGTCTTTATGAGTCTCTTCCTCAGAGAACTTGTGTTTATTCACCCATCATGGGTTTCACGTCCATCATCAGGAGCTCCTGGTCAATATAATGAGGTCAAGACGGACATCAGCCATAGTAAGGATTGAACCCGGGCCTCTTTGATTAAAGGTCAACACATTATGACCTGAGCCACTGAGTCTGGATGGAGCAGCAGATGTCTGAATGAGGCTTTATCTATTTCTTAATTTCAACCAAGATCTGAGATAAATTTCTTTCTAATTTGGCTCACAAAAAAACTATTGCCAAAAGTCAAGCCCTGTGGTTCAGTGGAAAAGTGTCTGGCTGCCATTCAGGAAAGGGAAGGATCGAATCCCACACTTATTACAACTACATCAAGTCTCTCTCAATAAGATCAATTTGAAGACATCAACATTCAACAATCTCAGTGGCTCAAGTCATAAAGCAGTGTGTTTTCATGCAGGAGACCTGGGTTCAAATCCCTCTATTGCTTACTTTACTGTCATTTGCTGGGATTCAGTCAGACAAATTGGCTCAGGAAGCAGGAAAGCCATGATGGGCTAGTGGATAAACACACACTTTCAGTGAGGACATGATTACAGCAGAGACTTGGGTACGAAACCCACTTCGCATGTGTGGATCACAGCAAAGGAACAGCTGAAAGCAAAGTAATTGGTGCGGGAGCACAACTGAGTATAAATGCTTTTGTTTTTTGTAACTGAATCAGCAGTAAAGAGCAGTAACAGGGCTTGGATTTGAACCCAGGTGTGCTGTGAGAACTTCACTTCTCAGGCTGTGTGCTCTGACCACTACACCATCAGCACACACACAAACCAACACTTCTTTCTCCAATGTGAGGATGACCACATTTACACACTTTGAAAAAAAAAACTAAATAAGCACAAATAATTAATATTAAATGTAAATTATTCAAAATTAATGTAAACTGCATCATATGCTAATATATTATTACATTTCAGTGTTCAAAATGTGTAAAACCTGCTTATTCCTCAATCAAACACATCAACCATTTGTTAAATGATCTTACAGCTGCTTGTGGGGCTTTAAATGTTCCTAAACACAATTAAACACTGTAAATATCATCATTTACCTCTAAAGTCTCCTCATACTGTATTGAGGACTCTACACCAAATCTGGCCAATCACATGCTCTCTACAGAAAGTCCCTCCCCCAACAAACACGCGACAGAGCAGCAGCACAACAAACACACTTTCTGGACTCTCTACTGGAAATATGAGCTCATAAATACCTTTACTGGAGCTGTGAATCCGCCTGGATGTGGAGGAGTGTGTGGAGGAGCGTCAGCTGTTGAGAACAGGTCAAAGATCTGCAGCAGAAACACAACAAACACACGTGTGTATCTTCACTGCTGCAGAGGAGAGAGAGAGAGCAATGCCTGAACACAAACACTACAACAACATCACTACAAACTAAACCAACAGAACAAAGTCACTTACAGGTGAGTCGCGTTACTCTCCATTTCTGCACTTGCTGTGGCTTGTCTTCGCTGTCTGGCTGTAATATCTGCTGTTGACTGACATTATGAGTCTGGCACTGAGCTGTCATCTGCTGGAGCTCAACTTGACGCCAGTAAAACGGTGTACCTGTGTTGATCTGTCGCTGTTGTCAAAGGTGTTCAGGCTAAAAGAGCAGCTCGCTGATGCCGCCTAGTGGAGCGGATGGAAACTGCGCTTTAATGCGCACACCTAACCCCACCTGTTACTGTGACGTCACTAGCTCCATTGAGTGCATTGTGTCTGACATTGTAAATCTGAGATATGCAGCTTCAGCTTACAAATCCGAGTCAGCATCCAGATACTATTGGAGAAAGACAGATCAAATCTGCCTGCTGCAGAGTTCACAAGATGTTTTTCATTCACTCGTTGCGTTTTCATACAGCAACAGAAATACGTATAATTCAAAACTTTAACAGCTTACTACAATATATGATCTTTAAAAAGCAGCCAGTCATCTTTATAAGGCGTTTATGATCATATTTCATTAAAAGTGTGTTTATTGATGAGAGGCGCATTCATTACATACAGGCTAAATGATAATCTGGAGTGAAGAAAAGGGGAGAAAGTCACAAGCTTTACAGTACAATATTCATGTTTTGCATTTCATTTATTAATATTTGATGTCAAGTCTGTAATCATCGGCTTTTGGGAATTGATTTATGTTACATTCATATTTGTTTGATATTTTCACATTGTTAATCAAGAATTTGAGCTGTTTTTGAGCTCTGTGGCTGTGTGAGGATTTTCAGGCCTAAGAAATTCTTTCATTTGTAACTTCAAAAGCAATGCATTGGATTAGGTTATCTAGACTGTGCAGTGTTATTTTACATTTGATTATTCAGTCACTGTACCCGAGTACTGTGAAGGGTGTCTCACACTTGATCGGCCCCTCAGTGCTGCAACGCGGCGTGCACATGACAGTTGGAGGTATCGCACACCAGACGCGCACAGTGGGATGTTATTTAATAAGAAACGACTCAGATGTCTCTCTGTGCTGTGGCAGATATATGAACTATGTCCTAAATTGTAGCTGGGCGTCATGAGCAGCCGCAGACTTGCAACGCCGCTTATCTATGCCTGTAGATTGTTTATTAAATTATGCAGATGCTCTCCCCTACAGAATCATCCCCATCCATCTAAAATGATTAATGCTGTACACATAGAGCCGTTCAGGTCATCTGGGGTTCGTTCTTCGTACCTCGCTTAAATGATCTAAGATTATTTGGCAGATCCTGGATCTTTTAATCTTGATCACTGATCTCTCGCTAATTTGGTTCTTCAAACAAGTTCGCGAATCAGATTAGAATGTCTGGATGAACTGATCTGAGATCGCTGCGTGTGTTGTGAAGTACAGATCTATCAATCCTCTAAATCATGATCAGCAATGCAACGATTGGCTGACGGCACAGCAGCGTAATGACATCATCTGATTAATATTCAATTATCCATGAGAGCAAAATTACATCAAATTAGCAATAAACGGCTTGTTAAATATGACACGCAATAACCTTCCACATTTGTTATGAGCTGCAGGCTTTACACTTTCATGCGTCAAGAGTATTCATCATGTATTTCAATGCAAATCAGTGTATTTAGCTCTACATTTAGAAAAGATTTTCTTTATTATAGTAGCCGTTTCTTAATCGGTGTAAAGAATAACTGGTTGTTTACAAAAGCATTTTCATATTGGTAAAGGTGTCTGCAACTTTTGTGAAGCATCAAATCACCGGCATATTAACTATCAAAACATGTTTATGACTGCATAAATGTATTATTGCTTTAAAAAAAAGTCACATATTGTGCATTTCTATTATACACAATTTGTACTAAAGTGATCTAAAAAGTTCATATCAATAAGTTTTCTATTTGCACCACAAGGTGGCAGTCTTTGTACTTTCATTTCGAGGGTGCAGATTGCATACGTTTTATTAATATGTATAACTTTATTTATTTTATTAATGACTATTACTTTATATATATAGTTAAAAAATATCTACCATTTTCCCAAGTGTATATAACTACTACTGTAAGAAAATATCAGAATTCGGAACATACTTTCTGTATTATCTTTGCTTGAACTGAGCCGATCTAATCCTGTTTATATGAATTGAACCTGCTCCCGATCAGGTTTGACCTAGCAGAACTGTTGCTATGACAACAACTCTCGGATCAGCTTTGAAGAACGAAACGATCCTGGATCGTGTCAAATCGTCAATATCCAAATCCAGCTAACTGAGTAATCCACGTACGAAGAACGGACCCCTGGTGAATTTGTACTCGTATCACAATATAAATCACAGAAAACTAAATATCACAACGTGACATATTTCCAATATCGTGCAGCTCTACAAAGAACCACCTGTTTCATCCTCAAGGCTGTTTCTTGTACTCTCAGCCGTCTAATCGGAAACTGGTTAATACTGGTGTAATCTACATGCAGACTGGCAGCTGCTGCTACACAGAAAGTCTCTCCTGCACACAAAGGAAATGATTTTAAACAGAATTAACACATAACATGACAAATAACTCAGGAAACAGTTGTTTCCAATCCAGCAGGAATCCAGATCCACTCGAGAGCTCTCCATGACCTCTGACCTGGTTTAGTAGATCCTGAAAACAGATTTGACAGAGACGGACGCTTTAACTGAACACATCACTACATTAGGTCATGTTTAACTTCATTCACTGATCAAAATCATGTCAAAGATTAAAAACTGATTCAAATAATCGTAATAATAAAGTCAACAAGAACAGATTTTGATCTTTCCTGAAACAGATGAAGACAGAAAACGACTCGCTTCAACATGCAGCAGATCTGTGCTCACGATGACCTCAGTTTACTGTCTCACAGTCATCTGAAGATCCCCATAAAAACTGTCTAATGTTTAGCATTTGATGATATTTCTCTATTTAATAATAATTCCTTTTTTGTTTAAACCTCAAGACTTCCTGCTTCCTCTTACACATTAAAATGTTTGTGGTTGTCAGCATCAGTGGAGGAAAATGAACACGACTACAGCTGCGCCACAGAAAGATGAAATCTCAGTGCTTTACATTTGCTGAGCTGAAGTTCAGAAAAAACATTAAAACATTCTTTCAAATCAACACATCTGCAAAGGTGTAATTCAGGAAAATCTCCACAGGAGGGCGACATGTTTAAACTCATTCAATTGGATTTATAGTGGTGTCTTACACCAAAATCACCACACGAGGGCGAATATTTTAAATTCATCAAATTGGCAGTGGTGTAATTCAGAAATATCTCCACAGGAGGGAGAAACTTTCTTATTTTAGAGCGGCAGCAGTGCAGTTCACAAAAATCCCCACAAGAGGGCGAATATTTCAAATTCAGTAAATTCAAGATTTGCAAAAGTGTAGTTCAGAGAAATCTCCACAGGAGGGCGCAATATTTGATACTGATCTAATATTTGTCTATTTGTCTATTGTTAGCTCAGATATTCAGTGTGTAATCATGTGTTTATTTGTGTGTCGACTCTACAGGATCAGTGAAGTGTTGTGGACTGTAAACCTGTTGACCAGACACTGACTGTACTGATGATGATCATCTGCTGCTGCACAGGTGATGTAGATCATGTGTGATTGTGTGTGTGTGTTTGTCTTGCACATGTCGGTTACCATCATTTGCTTTGTGGAGGGTCACTCCTCTAGAAAGTAAATGATGGTAACCGAAACAGGTGGGGAAGGGACGAAGGTCCAGAATTTTTATACAGTTCATTTTAAATTTTTTGCCAGGCTGTAAAGTATAACCCCTGCTGGACACGGCTCCGGAAGCTCCAGGGGGAGACCGAACTGGTATCCCCCCTTCTTCAGGCGCGCCTCACACTCACTCACCATTCACACATATCGCAGAGTTCTGGCTGGGACCGATACCAGCAACCCCTGAAGCTGTGGGGCAGCGCTCTTACCACAGAGCCACAGATCTCCTGACTGAACACCTGCTGGAACTGATGTTGGACTGCTGACCTGTGTGTGAGCTGATTCAATAAAACAAGATATATGTCAGATCTGAACCCTTGTCATTATGATTCTCTTCCTCAGAGAACTTGTGTTTATTCCTGGTGAACATAATAAGCTTTAGTTGGACATTAGCCATAGTGAGGTTTGAACCCGGGTCTCCTTGATTAAAGCTCATCACATTATGACCTGAGCCACTGAGTCTAGATGGTGGAGTAATTATCTGAATGGGGCTTTATTACCAATTTCATCCTGACCAAGGTTTGGCAGATATTTCTTTGTATTTTGGCTCACTAAATCATTACCACCAAACGTCAAGCTCTGTGGCTCAAAGGATGAGCGTTCGACTGCTATTTAGAAGTGTGAAGGATCGAATCTCATTTCTGCTAGATCGAGATACAAGTCAGACGTGAACTCTTGTCTTTATGAGTCTCTTCCTCAGAGAACTTGTGTTTATTCACCCATCATGGGTTTCACGTCCATCATCAGGAGCTCCTGGTCAATATAATGAGGTCAAGACGGACATCAGCCATAGTAAGGATTGAACCCGGGTCTCTTTGATTAAAGGTCAACACATTATGACCTGAGCCACTGAGTCTGGATGGAGCAGCAGATGTCTGAATGAGGCTTTATCTATTTCTTAATTTCAACCAAGATCTGAGATAAATTTCTTTCTAATTTGGCTCACAAAAAAACTATTGCCAAAAGTCAAGCCCTGTGGTTCAGTGGAAAAGTGTCTGGCTGCCATTCAGGAAAGGGAAGGATCGAATCCCACACTTATTACAACTACATCAAGTCTCTCTCAAAACTCTCAATAAGACCAATTTGAAGACATCAACATTCAACAATCTCAGTGGCTCAAGTCATAAAGCAATGTGTTTTCATGCAGGAGACCTGGGTTCAAATCCCACTATTGCTTACTTTTCTGTCATTTGATGGGATTCAGTCAAACAAAATGGCTCAAGAAGCAGGAAAGCCATGATGGGCTAGTGGATAAACACACACTTTCAGTGAGGACAAGATTACAGCAGAGACTTGGGTATGAAACCCACTTCGCATGTGTGGATCACAGCAAAGTAATCGGTGCGGGAGCACAAGTGAGTATAAATGCTTTTGTTTTTTGTAACTGAATCAGCAGTAAAGAGCAGTAACAGGGCTTGGATTTGAACCCAGGTGTGCTGTGAGAACTTCACTTCTCAGGCTGTGTGCTCTGACCACTACACCATCAGCACACACACAAACCAACACTTCTTTCTCCAATGTGAGGATGACCACATTTACACACTTTGAAAAAAAAAACTAAATAAGCACAAATAATTAATATTAAATGTAAATTATTCAAAATTAATGTAAACTGCATCATATGCTAATATATTATTACATTTCAGTGTTCAAAATGTGAAAAACCTGCTTATTCCTCAATCAAACACATCAACCATATGTTAAATGATCTTACAGCTGCTTGTGGGGCTTTAAATGTTCCTAAACACAATTAAACACTGTAAATATCATCATTTACCTCTAAAGTCTCATCATACTGTACTGATGACTCTACACCAAATCTGGCCAATCACATGCTTTCTACAGAAAGTCCCTCCCCCAACATACACGCGACAGAGCAGCAGCACAACAAACACACTTTCTGGACTCTCTACTGGAAATATGAGCTCATAAATACCTTTACTGGAGCTGTGAATCCGCCTGGATGTGGAGGAGTGTGTGGAGGAGCGTCAGCTGTTGAGAACAGGTCAAAAATCTGCAGCAGAAACACAACAAACACACGTGTGTATCTTCACTGCTGCAGAGGAGGAGAGAGAGAGCAATGCCTGAACACAAACACTACAACAACATCACTACAAACTAAACCAACAGAACAAAGTCACTTACAGGTGAGTCGCGTTACTCTCCATTTCTGGACTTGGTGTGGCTTGTCTTCGCTGTCGGGCTGTAATATCTGCTGTTGACTGACATTATGAGTCTGGCACTGAGCTGTCATCTGCTGGAGCTCAACTTGACGCCAGTAAAACGGTGTACCTGTGTTGATCTGTCGCTGTTGTCAAAGGTGTTCAGGCTAAAAGAGCAGCTCGCTGATGCCGCCTAGTGGAGCGGATGGAAACTGCGCTTTAATGCGCACACCTAACCCCACCTGTTACTGTGACGTCACTAGCTCCATTGAGTGCATTGTGTCTGACATTGTAAATCTGAGATATGCAGCTTCAGCTTACAAATCCGAGTCAGCATCCAGATACTATTGGAGAAAGACAGATCAAATCTGCCTGCTGCAGAGTTCATAAGATGTTTTTCATTCACTCGTTGCGTTTTCATACAGCAACAAAAATACTTATAATTCAAAACTTTAACGGCTTACTACAATATATGATCTTTAAAAAGCAGCCAGTCATCTTTATATGGCGTTTATGATCATATTTCATTAAAAGTGTGTTTATTGATGAGAGGCGCATTCATTACATACAGGCTAAATGATAATCTGGAGTGAAGAACATCATGGGGAGAAAGTCACAAGCTTTACAGTAAATATTCATGTTTTGCATTTCATTTATTAATATTTGATGTCAAGTCTGTAATCATCGGCTTTTGGGAATTGATTTATGTTACATTCATATTTGTTTGATATTTTAATTTGAGCTGTTTTTGAGCTCTGTGGCTGTGTGAGGATTTTCAGAATTCTTCCATTCGTAACTTCACAAGCAATGCATTGGATTAGGTTATCTAGACTGTGCAGTGTTATTTTACATTTGATTATTCAGTCACTGTACCCGAGTACTGTGAAGGGTGTCTCACACTTGATCGGCCCCTCAGTGCTGCAACGCGGCGTGCACATGACAGTTGGAGGTATCGCACACCAGACGCGCACAGTGGGATGTTATTTAATAAGAAACGACTCAGATGTCTCTCTGTGCTGTGGCAGATATATGAACTATGTCCTAAATTGTAGCTGGGCGCCATGAGCAGCCGCAGACTTGCCGCCCGTGTGCATACTCTGATAAAAAAGGCGCATCCAGTGTGCGAGCCCCTTGAGACTCTTAAGAAAACAGTAAAACACAGATTATTCCATCTCTATCTTCTTCTCCACTGCATTTATCTATGCTTGTAGATTGTTTATTAAATTTATGCAGATGTTCTCCCCAACAGAATCATCCTAATCCATCTAAAATGATTAATGCTGTACACATAGAGCCGTTCAGGTCATCTGGGGTTCGTTCTTCGTACCTCGCTTAAATGATCTAAGATTATTTGGCAGATCCAGGATCTTTTAATCTTGATAACTGATCTCTCGCTAATTTGGTTCTTCAAACAAGTTCGCGAATCAGATTAGAATGTCTGGATGAACTGATCTGAGATCGCTGCGTGTGTTGTGAAGTACAGATCTATCAATCCTCGAAATCATGATCAGCAATGCAACGATTGGCTGACGGCACAGCAGCGTAATGACATCATCTGATTAATATTCAATTATCCATGTGAGCAAAATTACATCAAATTAGCAGTAAACGGCTTGTTAAATATGACACGCAATAACCTTCCACATTTGTTATGAGCTGCAGGCTTTACACTTTCATGCGTCAAGAGTATTCATCATGTATTTCAATGCAAATCAGTGTATTTAGCTCTACATTTAGAAAAGATTTTCTTTATTATAGTAGCCGTTTCTTAATCGGTGTAAAGAATAACTGGTTGTTTACAAAAGCATTTTCATATTGGTAAAGGCGTCTGCAACTTTTGTGAAGCATCAAATCACCGGCATATTAACTATCAAAACATGTTTATGACTGCATAAATGTATTATTGCTTTAAAAAAAGTCACATATTGTGCATTTCTATTATACACAATTTGTACTAAAGTGATCTAAAAAGTTCATATCAATAAGTTTTCTATTTGCACCAGAAGGTGGCAGTCTTTGTACTTTCATTTCGAGGGTGCAGATTGCATACGTTTTATTAATATGTATAACTTTATTTATTTTATTAATGACTATTACTTTATATATATAGTTAAAAAATATCTACCATTTTCCCAAGTGTATATAACTACTACTGTAAGAAAATATCAGAATTCGGAACATACTTTCTGTAGTATCTTTGCTTGAACTGAGCCGATCTAATCCTGTTTATATGAATTGAACCTGCTCCCGATCAGGTTTAACCTAGCAGAACTGTTGCTATGACAACAACTCTCGGATCAGCTTTGAAGAACGAAACGATCCTGGATCGTGTCAAATCGTCAATATCCAAATCCAGCAAACTGAGTAATCCACGTACGAAGAACGGACCCCTGGTGAATTTGTACTCGTATCACAATATAAATCACAGAAAATAAATATCACAATGTGACATATTTCCAATATCGTGCAGCTCTACAAAGAACCACCTGTTTCATCCTCAAGGCTGTTTCTTGTACTCTCAGCCGTCTTATTGGAAACTGGTTAATACTGGTGTAATCTACATGCAGACTGGCAGCTGCTGCTACACAGAAAGTCTCTCCTGCACACAAAGGAAATGACTTTAAACAGAATTAACACATAACATGACAAATAACTCAGGAAACAGTTGTTTCCAATCCAGCAGGAATCCAGATCCACTCGAGAGCTCTCCATGACCTCTGACCTGGTTTAGTAGATCCTGAAAACAGATTTGACAGAGACGGACGCTTTAACTGAACACATCACTACATTAGGTCATGTTTAACTTCATTCACTGATCAAAATCATGTCAAAGATTAAAAACTGATTCAAATAATCGTAATAATAAAGTCAACAAGAACAGATTTTGATCTTTCCTGGAACAGATGAAGACAGAAAACGACTCGCTTCAACATGCAGCAGATCTGTGCTCATGATGACCTCAGTTTACTGTCTCACAGTCATCTGAAGACCCCGTTAAAATTGTCTAATGTTTAGCATTTGATGATATTTCTTTATTTAATAATAATTCCTTTTTTGTTTAAACCTCAAGACTTCCTGCTTCCTCTTACACATTAAAATGTTTGTGGTTGTCAGCATCAGTGGAGGAAAATGAACACGACTACAGCTGCGCCACAGAAAGATGAAATCTCAGTGCTTTACATTTACTGAGCTGAAGTTCAGGAAAAACATCAACACAAACTTTCAAATCAACACATCTGCAAAGGTGTAATTCAGGAAAATCTCCACAGGAGGGCGACATGTTTAAACTTATTCAATTAGATTTATAGTGGTGCCTTACACCAAAATCACCACACGAGGGCGAATGTTTTAAATCCATCAAATTGGCAGTGGTGTAATTCAGAAATATCTCCACAGGAGGGAGAAACTTTCTTATTTTAGAGCGGCAGCAGTGCAGTCCACAAAAATCCCCACAAGAGGGCGAATATTTCAAATTCAGTAAATTCAAGATTTGCAAAAGTGTAGTTCAGAGAAATCTCCACAGGAGGGCGCAATATTTGATACTGATCTAATATTTGTCTATTTGTCTATTGTTAGATCAGATATTCAGTGTGTGTAATCTTGTGTTTATTTGTGTGTCGACTCTACAGGATCAGTGAAGTGTTGTGGACTGTAAACCTGTTGAACAGAAGCAGAGACGTGTGGACAGACACTGACTGTACTGATGACGATCATCTGCTGCTGCACAGGTGATGTAGATCATGTGTGATTGTGTGTGTGTGTTTGTCTTGCACATGTCGGTTACCATCATTTGCTTTGTGGAGGGTCACTCCTCTACAAAGTAAATGATGGTAACCGAAATGGGTGGGGAAGGGACGAAGGTCCAGAATTTTTATACAGTTCATTTTAAATTTTTTGCTAGGCTGTAAAGTATAACCCCTGCTGGACACAGCTCCGGAAGCTCCAGGGGGAGACCGAACTGGTATCCCCCCTTCTTCAGGCACGCCTCACACTCACTCACCATTCACACATATCGCAGAGTTCTGGCTGGGACCGATACCAGCAACCCCTGAAGCCGTGGGGCAGCGCTCTTACCACAGAGCCACAGATCTCCATGTCTGAACACCTGCTGGAACTGATGTTGGACTGCTGACCTGTGTGTGAGCTGATTCAATAAAACAAGAATATATGTCAGATCTGAACCCTTGTCTTTATGAGTGTCTTCCTCAGAGAACTTGTGTTTATTCACTCATCAACCATCATTAGTTTCACATCTGCGTCCATCGTCTTGGTGAACATAATGAACCCAGTTAGACATTAGCCATAGTGAGGATTGAACCCGGGTCTCCTAGATTAAAGATCAACACTTTATGACCTGAGCCACCGAGTCTGGACAGTGAAGAAGATGTCGTATTGGGGCTTTATCACTATTCTCATTACGACCAAGGTTTGACGCATGTTTCTTTGTAATTTGGCCCACGAAAAACCTGCTGCCAAATGTCAAACCCTGTGGCTCAAAGGATGAGCTTTCGCCTGCTATTTAGAAGTGTGAAGGATCGATTCTCATTTCTGCTAGTCTGAGGTACAAGTCGGATTTGAACTCTTGTCTTTATGAGTCTCTTCCTCAGAGAACTTGTGTTTATTCACCCTTCATGGGTTTCGTTCCATCATCAGGGGCTCCTGGTCAGTATAATGAGGTTCAGATGGACATTAGCCATAGTGAGGTTTGAACCCGGGTCTCCTTGATTAAAGATCAATAGTTTATGACTTGAGCCACTGAGTCTAGATGGTGAACAATGTGTCTGATAGGGGCTTTATCACTGTTTTCATCATGACCAAGGTGTGACAAATATTTCTTTGTAATTTGGCTCACAAAACAACTACTGCTGGATGTCAAGTCCTGTGGTTCAGTGGATGAGCCTTCGCCTGCCATGCAGGAGACATGGGTTCAAATCCCACTATTGCTTACTTTACTTTCGGTTACTGGAATTCAATCAGTGTGTCCCAAACAGCAGCTGACAGAATGAAAGCCATGATGGGCTAGTGGATGAACACTTGGTTTCTGTGCATAAGGTAATGGCAGAGGCCTGGGCACGAAACTCACCTCAATGTGTAGTTCACAACAACACAAATGCAATCAGCAATGTAATTAGAGCGGGAACTCACACATAAAAATACTTTGTTGCTTTTCTGAATATATAAAAGGTTAAAAGCAGCAGGAGGGCTTGGATTTGAACCCAGGTATGCTGTGACAGCTTCAGATGTCATGATGTGTCCTCTGACCACTACACCATCACCACTTATAAACCCACATTTCTTTCTCCAATGTGAGGATGACCACATTCTACACAATTTGAGAAAAAAAACTAATAATTCATATCAAATGTAAGTTATTTTAAATAAATGTAAACTGCATCATATGCGAATATATTATTATATTTCACTATTCAAAATGTGAAAAACCTGCTTCATTCCTCAATCAAACACATGAACATGTTTCAAATGATCTTACAGCTGCTTGTGGGGCTTTAAATGTCACTAAACACAATTAAACACTGTAAATATCATCATTTACCTCTAAAGTCTCCTCATACTGTATTGAGGACTCTACACCAAATCTGGCCAATCACATGCTCTCTACAGAAAGTCCCTCCCCCAACAAACACGCAACAGAGCAGCAGCACAACAAACCACTTTCTGGACTCTCTACTGGAAATATGAGCTCATAAATACCTTTACTGGAGCTGTGAATCCGCCTGGATGTGGAGGAGTGTGTGGAGGAGCGTCAGCTGTTGAGAACAGGTCAAAGATCTGCAGCAGAAACACAACAAACACACGTGTGTATCTTCACTGCTGCAGAGGAGGAGAGAGAGAGCAATGCCTGAACACAAACACTACAACAACATCACTACAAACTAAACCAACAGAGCAAAGTCACTTACAGGTGAGTCGCGTTACTCTTCATTTCTGCAATTGCTGTGGCTTGTCTTTGCTGTCGGGCTGTAAAATGTGCTGTTGACTGACATTATGAGTCTGGCACTGAGCTGTCATCTGCTGGAGCTCAACTTGACACCAGTGAAATGGTGTACCTGTGTTGATCTGGTGTCGCTGTTGTCAAAGGTGTTCAAACTAAAAGAGCAGCTCGCTGAATAAATAAATACTATTTAAATCAGGATCGGCAGAGAGGCAGGAATTAACCTCAGATCATCGTGAGCACAGTTTTGCTACATGTCTGTGTGTTTAACTAATTTTTAATGTTTAAAGCATGAACTCAAACATCTAATCATTCATAAGTGGTTCTTTTTCTCACTATATTTAGAGTTTCAGGGCATATTTTTGATTGACAGTGTGGAAATATCAAATAATTATCAATAAAATATGAAACAATTTTCAAAAAAACTATTGATTTCAGGCTCAACATAAAAATATTGTTGAATAAAATGTAAAACATAAACAAACTGATCAGTAAATGTCCGCTTGAACTGAGAAAATGTGACTTTAAACAGAGAGCAGCTGAAGCTGTATTGATTTGTTTTACTGTCTTTACTGCAGATGAAGTTGGTATGTGCTTGTCAAATAAACATTTCAGATGTTTCTATGGATGCTGCAAAATTTTTAAGTCAAATTTAAGAATTTGAGTCCTAAAGAAAAAATAAATCAGTGGAGATGTCCAATAGCAGAGTTTCACTGTGTTTGTTTACAGTCTACTGTGGACAGCTGATTCACAAACACATTCATATTATCCACATTCAATGCACTGCTCAGTCCTCTGCCATTTTGATCTCTATAAGAGTATTTTGTAGTCTGCTGAGTATAAGTGTGTACATACTACAAAATGCACATTTAAAAATCGTCAATCACTCGGCTATTACTGTAAACATTCTGTAGTGAAAGAACTGCAATAGACTTTATTAAACACCAACAGTTGAAGCAGAGGTTGATGTTAATTCTGCCTGTTTTATATCAGAGCTTCAAAATACAACAGAATAAATCTCTGTCGGTCTCTTTTGTTAAGTTTAATTATAATGTAGCCTAAAATTATCCATAACACAATAATGCAGGCCGCAAGTCAGATCACAGCTAACTCAAATTCATAAATATGGTTGATATGAACCTTCTGACCCTAGTCATATTTTATAGGAAATGAATGAGCATATTAAACTGTTTCTGGAGGTTTACCTAAATAAATCACAAACCTACTAAATATCAGAGAACAATTAAACTTATTGAATCAATGCAGAATATGCAGCACCTCAGAATCATTCAATTTGCAAAGGTGTATTTCAGAAATATCTACACAAGCGTGAAACTTTTAACTTCATTATTTTATAACAGCAGCAGTGCAGTTCACAAACATCAGCACAAGAGTAATATATATTATAATATTTTAAACTCATAAGATTTGTTATGGTGTAATTCTGGGAAATCTCCACACGAGGGCAATAAAATGTCGGTTGTCAGCATCAGTGGATAAAAATACACACAACTACAGCTGCACCACAAGAAGGAGAAATCTCAGTGCTTTACATTTACGGTTGTTGCTAGAGCAGATACGTTTGCGGCCGGAAGTTAACATGAATTATTTCTATTATTTATTAACTTTCTCATTTGTTGTATTTTATTAACGTCTACCCCCACCCCAACCCTAAACCCAAACCTCACAGTACTGTGAAAATATTAATTATTGTTATACAGTGTCAAAAAAATGCTGCTTTATTAATGTGCATATTGCACTTCCGGCCGGCCGCATATCCGATCTAGACTTTACCTACATTTACTGTGCTGAAATCCACAAAAATCACCACAATCTTTCAAATCAATAAATCTGCAAAGGTGTAATTCAGAAAAAACTCCACAGGAGGGCGACATGTTTACATTCAGTCAATGAGATTTGCAGTGGTGTAATTCAGAAATATCTCCACAGGAGGGAGAAACTTTCATTCTTTTAGAACGGCAGCAGTGCAGTCCACAAAAATCCCCACAAGAAGGCGCTGTTATAGCGAATATTTTAAATTCATTGGTTCAAGATTTGCAAAGGTGTAATTCATAACAATCTCCACAGGAGGGCACAATATTTGATACAAATGTAATATTAGTATATTTGTCTATTGTTAGATCAGATATTCAGTGTGTGTGTAATAATGTGTGTATTTGTGTCGACTCTACAGGATCAGTGACGTGTTGTGGACTGTAAACCTGTTGAACAGAAGCAGAGACGTGTGGACAGACACTGACTGTACTGATGACGATCATCTGCTGCTGCACAGGTGATGTAGATCATGTGTGTGATTGTGTCTGTTCCACATGTCGGTTACCATCATTTGCTTTGTGGAGGGTCACTCCTCTACAAAGTAAATGATGGTAACCGAAACGGGTGGGGAAGGGACGCAGGTCCAGAATTTTTATACAGTTCATTTTAAATTTTTTGCCAGGCTGTAAAGTATAACCCCTGCTGGACACGGCTCCGGAAGCTCCAGGGGGAGACCGAACTGGTATCCCCCCTTCTTCAGGCGCGCCTCACACTCACTCACCATTCACACATATCGCAGAGTTCTGGCTGGCCTTGAACCAGCAACCCCTGAAGCCGTGGGGCAGCGCTCTTACCACAGAGCCACAGATCTCCATGTCTGAACTCTTGCTGGAACTGATGTTGGACTGCTGACCTGTGTGTGAGCTGATTCAATAAAACAAGAATATATGTCAGATCTGAACCCTTGTCTTTATGAGTGTCTTCCTCAGAGAACTTGTGTTTATTCACTCATCAACCATCATTAGTTTCACATCTGCGTCCATCGTCTTGGTGAACATAATGAACCCAGTAAGACATTAGTCATAGTGAGGATTGAACCCGGGTCTCCTAGATTAAAGATCAACACTTTATGACCTGAGCCACCGAGTCTGGACAGTGAAGAAGATGTCGTATTGGGGCTTTATCACTATTCTCATTACGACCAAGGTTTGACGCATGTTTCTTTGTAATTTGGCCCACGAAAAACCTGCTGCCAAATGTCAAACCCTGTGGCTCAAAGGATGAGCTTTCGCCTGCTATTTAGAAGTGTGAAGGATCGAATCTCATTTCTGCTAGTCTGAGGTACAAGTCGGATTTGAACTCTTGTCTTTATGAGTCTCTTCCTCAGAGAACTTGTGTTTATTCACCCATCATGGGTTTCACGTCCATCATCAGGGGGTCCTGGTCAGTATAAGGAGGTTCAGATGGACGTTAGCCATAGTGAGGTTTGAACCCGGGTCTCCTTGATTAAAGATCAATAGTTTATGACTTGAGCCACTGAGTCTAGATGGTGAACAATCTGTCTGAATGGGGCTTTATCACTGTTTTCATCGTGACCAAGGTTTGACATATTCTTCTTTGTGATTTGGCTCACAAAACAACTATTGCCAGATGTCAAGTCCTGTGGTTCAGTGGATGAGCCATCGCCTGCCATGCAGGGGACATGGGTTCAAATCCCTCTATTGCTTACTTTACTTTCGGTTACTGGAATTCAATCAGTGTGTCCCAAACAGCAGCTGACAGAATGAAAGCCATGATGGGCTAGTGGATGAACACTTGGTTGCTGTGGATAAGGTAACGGCAGAGGCCTCGGTACGAAACTCACCTCAATGTGTAGTTCACAACAACACAAATGCAATCAGCAATGTAATTAGAGCGGGAACTCACAAATAAAAATACTTTTTGCTTTTCTGAATATATAAAAGGTTAAAAGCAGCAAGCTTGGATTTGAACCCAGGTATGCTGTGACAGCTTCAGATGTCATGATGTGTGCTCTGACCACTACACCATCACCACATATAAACCCACATTTCTTTCTCCAATGTGAGGATGACCACATTCTACACATTTTGAGAAAAAAAAACAAATAAACACAAATAATTCATATCAAATGTAAGTTATTTTAAATAAATGTAAACTGCATCATATGCGAATATATTATTACATTTCACTATTCAAAATGTGAAAAACCTGCTTATTCTTCAATCAGACACATGAACATGTTTCAAATTATCTTACAGCTGCTTGTGGGGCTTTAAATGTCACTAAACACAATTAAACACTGTAAATATCATCATTTACCTCTAAAGTCTCCTCATACTGTATTGAGGACTCTACACCAAATCTGGCCAATCACATGCTCTCTACAGAAAGTCCCTCCCCCAACAAACACGCGACAGAGCAGCAGCACAACAAACACACTTTCTGGACTCTCTACTGGAAATATGAGCTCATAAATACCTTTACTGGAGCTGTGAATCCGCCTGGATGTGGAGGAGTGTGTGGAGGAGCGTCAGCTGTTGAGAACAGGTCAAAGATCTGCAGCAGAAACACAACAAACACACGTGTGTATCTTCACTGCTGCAGAGGAGGAGAGAGAGAGCAATGCCTGAACACAAACACTACAGCAACATCACTACAAACTAAACCAACAGAACAAAGTCTCTTACAGGTGAGTCGCGTTACTCTTCATTTCTGCAATTGCTGTGGCTTGTCTTTGCTGTCGGGCTGTAAAATCTGCTGTTGACTGACATTATGAGTCTGGCACTGAGCTGTCATCTGCTGGAGCTCAACTTGACACCAGTGAAATGTTGTACCTGTGTTGATCTGGTGTCGCTGTTGTCAAAGGTGTTCAAACTAAAAGAGCAGCTCGCTGAATAAATAAATACTATTTAAATCAGGATCGGCAGAGAGGCAGGAATTAACCTCAGATCATCGTGAGCACAGTTTTGCTACATGTCTGTGTGTTTAACTAATTTTTAATGTTTAAAGCATGAACTCAAACATCTAATCATTCATAAGTGGTTCTTTTTCTCACTATATTTAGAGTTTCAGGGCATATTTTTGATTGACAGTGTGGAAATATCAAATAATTATCAATAAAATATGAAACAATTTTCAAAAAAACTATTGATTTCAGGCTCAACATAAAAATATTGTTGAATAAAATGTAAAACATAAACAAACTGATCAGTAAATGTCCGCTTGAACTGAGAAAATGTGACTTTAAACAGAGAGCAGCTGAAGCTGTATTGATTTGTTTTACTGTCTTTACTGCAGATGAAGTTGGTATGTGTTTGTCAAATAAACATTTCAGATGTTTCTATGGGTGCTGCAAAATGTTTAAGTCAAATTTAAGAATTTGAGTCCTGAAGAATAAATAAATCAGTGGAGATGTCCAATAGCAGAGTTTCACTGTGTTTGTTTACAGTCTACTGTGGACAGCTGATTCACAAACACATTCATATTATCCACATTCAATGCACTGCTCAGTCCTCTGCCATTTTGATCTCTATAAGAGTATTTTGTAGTCTGCTGAGTATAAGTGTGTACATACTACAAAATGCACATTTAAAAATCGTCAATCACTCGGCTATTACTGTAAACATTCTGTAGTGAAAGAACTGCAATAGACTTTATTAAACACCAACAGTTGAAGCAGAGGTTGATGTTAATTCTGCCTGTTTTATATCAGAGCTTCAAAATACAACAGAATAAATCTCTGTCGGTCTCTTTTGTTAAGTTTAATTATAATGTAGCCTAAAATTATCCATAACACAATAATGCAGGCCGCAAGTCAGATCACAGCTAACTCAAATTCATAAATATGGTTGATATGAACCTTCTGACCCTAGTCATATTTTATAGGAAATGAATGAGCATATTAAACTGTTTCTGGAGGTTTACCTAAACAAATCACAAACCTACTAAATATAAGAGAACAATTAAACTTATTGAATCAATGCAGAATATGCAGCACCTCAGAATCATTCAATTTGCAAAGGTGTATTTCAGAAATATCTACACAAGCGTGAAACTTTTAACTTCATTATTTTATAACAGCAGCAGTGCAGTTCACAAACATCAGCACAAGAGTAATATATATTATAATATTTTAAACTCATAAGATTTGTTATGGTGTAATTCTGGGAAATCTCCACACGAGGGCAATAAAATGTCGGTTGTCAGCATCAGTGGATAAAAATACACACAACTACAGCTGCACCACAAGAAGGAGAAATCTCAGTGCTTTACATTTACGGTTGTTGCTAGAGCAGATACGTTTGCGGCCAGAAGTTAACGTGAATTATTTCTATTATTTATTAACTTTCTCATTTGTTGTATTTTATTAACGTCTACCCCCACCCCAACCCTAAACCCAAACCTCACAGTACTGTGAAAATATTAATTATTGTTATACAGTGTCAAAAAAATGCTGCTTTATTAATGTGCATATTGCACTTCCGGCCGGCCGCATATCCGATCTAGACTTTACCTACATTTACTGTGCTGAAATCCACAAAAATCACCACAATCTTTCAAATCAATAAATCTGCAAAGGTGTAATTCAGAAAAAACTCCACAGGAGGGAGAAACTTTCATTCTTTTAGAACGGCAGCAGTGCAGTCCACAAAAATCCCCACAAGAAGGCGCTGTTATAGCGAATATTTTAAATTCATTGGTTCAAGATTTGCAAAGGTGTAATTCATAACAATCTCCACAGGAGGGCACAATATTTGATACAAATGTAATATTAGTATATTTGTCTATTGTTAGATCAGATATTCAGTGTGTGTGTAATAATGTGTGTATTTGTGTCGACTCTACAGGATCAGTGACGTGTTGTGGACTGTAAACCTGTTGAACAGAAGCAGAGACGTGTGGACAGACACTGACTGTACTGATGACGATCATCTGCTGCTGCACAGGTGATGTAGATCATGTGTGTGATTGTGTCTGTTCCACATGTCGGTTACCATCATTTGCTTTGTGGAGGGTCACTCCTCTACAAAGTAAATGATGGTAACCGAAACGAGTGGGGAAGGGACGCAGGTCCAGAATTTTTATACAGTTCATTTTAAATTTTTTTGCCAGGCTGTAAAGTATAACCCCTGCTGGACACGGCTCCGGAAGCTCCAGGGGGAGACCAAACTGGTATCCCCCCTTCTTCAGGCGCGCCTCACACTCACTCACCATTCACACATATCGCAGAGTTCTGGCTGGCCTTGAACCAGCAACCCCTGAAACCGTGGGGCAGCGCTCTTACCACAGAGCCACAGATCTCCATGTCTGAACACCTGCTGGAACTGATGTTGGACTGCTGACCTGTGTGTGAGCTGATTCAATAAAACAAGATATATGTCAGATCTGAACCCTTGTCTTTATGAGTGTCTTCCTCAGAGAACTTGTGTTTATTCACTCATCAACCATCATTAGTTTCACATCTGCGTCCATCGTCTTGGTGAACATAATGAACCCAATAAGACATTAGTCATAGTGAGGATTGAACCCGGGTCTCCTAGATTGAAGATCAACACTATATGACCTGAGCCACCGAGTCTGGACAGTGAAGAAGATGTCGTATTGGGGCTTTATCACTATTCTCATTACGACCAAGGTTTGACGCATGTTTCTTTGTAATTTGGCCCACGAAAAACCTGCTGCCAAATGTCAAACCCTGTTGCTCAAAGGATGAGCTTTCGCCTGCTATTTAGAAGTGTGAAGGATCGAATCTCATTTCTGCTAGTCTGAGGTACAAGTCGGATTTGAACTCTTGTCTTTATGAGTCTCTTCCTCAGAGAACTTGTGTTTATTCACCCATCATGGGTTTCACGTCCATCATCAGGGGGTCCTGGTCAGTATAAGGAGGTTCAGATGGACGTTAGCCATAGTGAGGTTTGAACCCGGGTCTCCTTGATTAAAGATCAATAGTTTATGACTTGAGCCACTGAGTCTAGATGGTGAACAATCTGTCTGAATGGGGCTTTATCACTGTTTTCATCGTGACCAAGGTTTGACATATTCTTCTTTGTGATTTGGCTCACAAAACAACTATTGCCAGATGTCAAGTCCTGTGGTTCAGTGGATGAGCCTTCGCCTGCCATGCAGGGGACATGGGTTCAAAACCCTTTATTGCTTACTTTACTTTCGGTTACTGGAATTCAATCAGTGTGTCCCAAACAGCAGCTGACAGAATGAAAGCCATGATGGGCTAGTGGATGAACACTTGGTTGCTGTGGATAAGGTAAAGGCAGAAGCCTGAGCACGAATCTCACCTCAATGTGTAGCTCACAAATGCAATCAGTAATGTAATTAGAGCGGGAACTCACACATAAAAATACTTTGTTGCTTTTCTGAATATCTAAAAGGTTAAAAGCAGCAAGCTTGGATTTGAACCCAGGTATGCTGTGACAGCTTCAAATGTCATGATGTGTGCTCTGACCACTACACCATCACCACATATAAACCCACATTTCTTTCTCCAATGTGAGGATGACCACATTCTACACATTTTGAGAAAAAAAAAACAAATAAACACAAATAATTCATATCAAATGTAAGTTATTTTAAATAAATGTAAACTGCATCATATGCGAATATATTATTATATTTCACTATTCAAAATGTGAAAAACCTGCTTATTCTTCAATCAGACACATGAACATGTTTCAAATTATCTTACAGCTGCTTGTGGGGCTTTAAATGTCACTAAACACAATTAAACACTGTAAATAACATCATTTACCTCTAAAGTCTCCTCATACTGTACTGATGACTCTACACCAAATCTGGCCAATCACATGCTCTCTACAGAAAGTCCCTCCCCCAACAAACACGCGACAGAGCAGCAGCACAACAAACACACTTTCTGGACTCTCTACTGGAAATATGAGCTCATAAATACCTTTACTGGAGCTGTGAATCCGCCTGGATGTGGAGGAGTGTGTGGAGGAGCGTCAGCTGTTGAGAACAGGTCAAAGATCTGCTGCAGAAACACAACAAACACACGTGTGTATCTTCACTGCTGCAGAGGAGAGAGAGAGAGCAATGACTGAACCCAAACACTACAACAACATCACTACAAACTAAACCAACAGAGCAAAGTCACTTACAGGTGAGTCGCGTTACTCTCCATTTCTGCGCTTGCTGTGGCTTTTCTTCGCTGTCAGGCTGTAAAATGTGCTGTTGACTGACATTATGAGTCTGGCACTGAGCTGTCATCTGCTGGAGCTCAACTTGACGCCAGTAAAACGGTGTACCTGTGTTGATCTGTGTTGCTGTTGTCAAAGGTGTTCAGACTAAAAGAGCAGCTCGCTGATGCCGCCTAGTGGAGCGAATGGGATCTGCGGTTTAAAGCGCACACCTAACCCCACCTGTTACTGTGACGTCACTAGCTCCATTGAGTACAGCGTCTGACATTGTAAGTCTGATATAGGAAGTCTCAGCTTGCAAATCCAAGTCTGCATGCAGATACTATTGGAGAAAGACTGACCAAATCTGCCTCATGCAGAGTTTACAAGATTTTTTTTTCATCCACTAATTGCGTTTTCATACAGCAACAGAAATACCTATAATGCAAAACTTAATGAACGGCTTACTACAATATAGGATTGAAAATAAAGCAGCCAGTCATCTTTATACGGCATTTAGTAAAGGAAATGTGTTCATATTTTTGTTGGTAAAATTATCATTTGTGTCTGCGTCAATTAAATCTGTAAGCAATGAAAACATTCTGCATCCCCAATATAAGAGCTCGTCAAACAAGTTCTATGTGTCTTTATTGATGAGTGGCGCATTAATTACCTACAGGCTAATATTCAGGTTTCACATTACATTCGTATTGGTTTGATATTTCCACATTGTTAATCAAGCATTTGTGCTGAAGTTCAATATAAAGTGAGCACAAATAATGACCCATGAATGATTAGATGATTGAGTGTATGCTTCAATAATTATTTTGACATTGTTAGGAGGGAAATGAACAGTTGAGGCCAAAACGACTGCTGTGTCAGATCAAGAGAAGACTCTGAGCCGCAGATTAAATAAAATTAAGAGAATTCACTGGAGATAGTTTGTGGTTCTGCAGCAGGAGGGCTTCACACTGGCATTGAGTTTGCTGGCCGATCTCCCTGCCTTACACTAAGACAGAAAATCTCTCCTGCATACAAAGAAAATTACTTTACAGAGAATTTACACATAAAATAGAAAAACTCAGGAATCAGTTGTTTTAATCCACCAGGAATCCAGTTCCCCTCGAGAGCTCTCCATGACCTCTGACCTGGCTTGGTAGATGGGCCATTCTTCAACTACAGGCACTTTTAGCCTTGTGAAGTTGAGTAAAAAAAACTTGTTCAAAATTAACGTAACATAGCCTCATAAGTTTAAACACTTTGTCTAGTTTTAAGATCTGTAAGAGGACAAACTTAGATAAGAAGAGAAACATTTTCTCCATCGTGAACTGAACAAATGTCAATTCCAGCACATCTCAATATACAGCTTATATTTCTATATGACATAAATGAAGGCAGTCAAACATTGTCTAAGATCATTTTTGTTTCTAGTTTAACCAAATCTTTCCACAATATCAATAATAGTTATACATTTGTCAGTGAAATAAATTAGTTGTGTGCTGAATTGTACACCTGTCACACTCTAAAACTTAATATAATTTGGTTAAGAGCTTATTAGAAAATAAATAAACTGAATTTGGATATTAAACAGAGCATAAACTCATACATTGTGATTACACTTTAATGTGTGATGAGAACTTTTTAAATGTTTTTAATAATGTGTGTGGTGATGGAAATGACATTTCAACAGTTTATTATGAAAAAAAAGAAAAATAGCTTCACTGATTAACTTTGACTTGATACAAGCCTTTCATGTATACAAAACACTCTTATTTACCGTCATTTTGTTTTGGTTTAAAATTTTTTTAAGTAGGTTTGATTGTTAGTTTGACAAGAAAGAGAAATTTAAACAAAATTATATATATGTTTGGATATTTGATCAAAGGACATAAAAGTGCTCGTAGTTGAAGAATTACCCAGATCCTGAAAACAGAGATTTGACAGACACAGACGCTTCAGCTGAACACATCACTACATGAGGTCATGTTTAACTTCAGTCACTGATCAAAATCATGTCAAAGATTAAAAACTGATTCAAATAATCATAATAATAGAGTCAACAAGAACAGATTTTGATCTTTCCTGGAACAGATGAAGACAGAAAACGACTCGCTTCAACAGGAAGCAGATCTGTGCTCACGATGACCTCAGTTTACTCAAGCTTCGCTGTCATTTGAAGATCCCCATAAAAAACTGTGTGATATTTAGCATTTGATGATAAGTCTCTATTCAATAATAATTACTTTTTTAGTTTAAACCTCAAGACTTCCATTGTTTCTGGTTGTCAGCATCAGTGGAGGAAAATACACAGAACTACAGCTGCGCCACAGGAAGGTGAAATCTCAGTGCTTTACATTTGCTGTGCTGAAGTTCAGGAAAAACATTAGCACAATCTTTCAAATCAACTGAACTGCAAAGGTGTAATTCAGAAATATCTCCACAGGAGGGCGACATGTTTAAATTCATACTATTGGATTTGCAGTGGTGTCATTCACCAAAATCACCACACGAGGGCGAACATTTAGAATTCATCAAATTCGCAGTGGTGTAATTCAGAAATATCTCCACAGGAGGGAGAAACGTTCATTATTTTAGAGCGGCAGCAGTGCAGTCCACAAAAATCCCCACAAGAGGGCGAATATTTAAAATTCAATAGATTCAAGATTTGCAAAAGTGTGGTTCTGAAAAATCTCCACAGGAGGGCGCAATATTTGATACATATGTAATATTTGTCTATTTGTCTATTGTTAGATCAGATATTCAGTGTGTAATCACGTGTTTATTTGTGTTGACTCTACAGGATCAGTGACGTGTTGTGGACTGAGAGCCTGTTGAACAGAAGCAGAGACGTGTGGACAGACACTGACTGTACTGATGATGATCATCTGCTGCTGCACAGGTGATGTAGATCATGTGTGATTGTGTGTGTGTTTGTCTTGCACATGTCGGTTACCATCATTTGCTTTGTGGAGGGTCACTCCTCTAGAAAGTAAATGATGGTAACCGAAACGGGTGGGGAAGGGACGAAGGTCCAGAATTTTTATACAGTTCATTTTAAATTTTTTGGCAGGCTGTAAAGTATAACCCCTGCTGGACACGGCTCCGGAAGCTCCAGGGGGAGACCGAACTGGTATCCCCCCTTCTTCAGGCGCGCCTCACACTCACTCACCATTCACACATATCGCAGAGTTCTGGCTGGGACTGATACCAGCAACCCCTGATGCCGTGGGGCAGCGCTCTTACCACAGAGCCACAGATCTCCATGTCTGAACACCTGCTGGAACTGATGTTGGACTGCTGACCTGTGTGTGAGCTGATTCAATAAAACAAGATAAATGTCAGATCTGAACCCTTGTCTTTATGAGTGTCTTCCTCAGAGAACTTGTGTTTATTCACTCATCAACCATCATTAGTTTCACATCAGCGTCCATCGTCTTGGTGAACATAATGAACCCAGTTAGACATTAGTCATAGTGAGGATTGAACCTGAGTCTCCTAGATTAAAGATCAACACTTTATGACCTGAGCCACTGAGTCTGGACAGCGAAAGACAGGTCAGATTGGGGCTTTATCACTATTCTCATTACGACCAAGGTTTGACGCATGTTTCTTTGTAATTTGGCCCACGAAAAACCGGCTGCCAAATGTCAAACCCTGTTGCTCAAAGGATGATCTTTCGACTGCTATTTAGAAGTGTGAAGGTTCGAATCTCATTTCTGCTAGATGGAGATACAAGTCGGATTTGAACTCTTGTCTTTATGAGTCTCTTCCTCAGAGAACTTGTGTTTATTCACCCATCATCGGTTTCGTTCCATCATCAGGGGCTCCTGGTCAGTATAATGAGGTTCAGATGGACGTTAGCCATAGTGAGGTTTGAACCCGGGTCTCATTGATTAAAGATCAATAGTTTATGACTTGAGCCACTGAGTCTAGATGGTGAAAAATTTGTCTGAATGGGGCTTTATCACTGTTTTCATCGTGACCAAGGAGTGACATATTCTTCTTTGTAATTTGGCTCACAAAACAACTATTGCCAGGTGTCAAGTCCTGTGGTTCAGTGGATGAACCCCCGCCTGCCATATAGGGGACATGGGTTCACATCCCACTATTGCTTACTTTACTTTCGGTTGCTGGAATTCAATCAAACAGTGTGGCCTAAACAGCAGCTGACAGAATGAAAGCCATGATGGGCTAGTGGATGAGCTCATGGTTGCAGTAAACAAAATAACAACAAAGGGCTGGGTACGAAACCCACTTCGGCGTGTAGCTCACACCAATGCAAACAGCAAGGTAATTAGAGCGGGAACTCTAACATAAAATTTGTTTTTTTTCTTCGGAATATCTCAGCAGTAAAAAGCAGCAACAGTGCTTGGATTTGAACCCACGTATGCTGTGACAGCTTCGGATGTAATGATGTGTGCCCTCACCACTACACCATTACCACATATAAACCCACTTTTCTTTCTCCAATGTGAGGATAACCACATTCTACACATTTTGAAAAAAAAAAATTAAATGAACACAAATAATTCATATCAAATGTAAGTTATTTTAAATAAATGTAAACTGCATCATATGCAAATATATTATTATATTTTACTATTCAAAATGTGAAAAACCTGCTTCATTCCTCAATCAAACACATGAACATGTTTCAAATGATCTTACAGCTGCTTGTGGGGCTTTAAATGTCACTAAACACAATTAAACACTGTAAATATCATCATTTACCTCTAAAGTCTCCTCATACTGTATTGAGGACTCTACACCAAATCTGGCCAATCAAATGCTTTCTACAGAAAGTCCCTCCCCTAACAAACATGCAACAGAGCAGCAGCACAACAAACACACTTTCTGGACTCTCTACTGGAAATATGAGCTCATAAATACCTTTACTGGAGCTGTGAATCCGCCTGGATGTGGAGGAGTGTGTGGAGGAGCGTCAGCTGTTGAAAACAGGTCAAAGATCTGCAGCACAAACACAACAAACACACGTGTGTATCTTCACTGCTGCAGAGGAGAGAGAGAGAGAGCAATGACTGAACACAAACACTACAGCAACATCACTACAATCTAAACCAACAGAACAAAGTCACTTACAGGTGAGTCGCGTTACTCTCCATTTCTGCACTTGGTGTGGCTTTTCTTCGCTGTCGGGCTGTAAAATGTGCTGTTGACTGACATTATGAGTCTGGCACTGAGCTGTCATCTGCTGGAGCTCAACTTTACACCAGTGAAACGGTGTAGCTGTGATGTTTAACCAGTTTTGAATGTTAAAAACACATACTCAAACATGTACTCAGTCATAAGTGATTCATTTTCTCACTTTGTTTAGGGTTTCAGGGCATATTTTTGATTGACAGTGTAGAAATATCAAATATCTATTAATGAAATATGAAACAATTTTCAAAGACTAGTGATTAAAGGCTCAACATGAAATATAATGGAATAAAATGCAAAATGTAAACAAACTGATCAGTGGACGTCCGCTAGAACTGAGAAAATGTGACTAAACTGAGAGCAGCTGAAGCTGTGTTGACTTGTGTTGCTGTCTCTACTGAGATTAAGTTGGTTTGTGCTTGTCAGCATTTGTAAAGTGAAGATTTCAGACATTTATACAAGTAAATGTAAATATAAACTAGTAAAAAATGTAAAGATTTAAGACACTTTGTGTCCTGAAGAATAAGTAGGTAATACATAAGTCGGTGGAGATGTCCAATACTAATGTTTTACTGTTGTTGTTTACATTGAAATGTATTTTTTAATAAAATACCAAATACCTCAATTTTACACGTATCAAAATAAATACATAATAAATAAATAATAAGACAGATTACAGCTAATTCAAATTCATAAATATGGTTAACATGAACCTTCTGACTCTAGTGGTGTTTTATGGGAAATAAATGAGCATATAAACCCCTTTCTAGACGTTTATCTAAATAAACCAAACCACATACCTACTAAATATGAGACAACAAGTTAACTTATTGAGTCAATGCAGTAAATGCAGCATCTTTAAAATCATTCGATTTGCAAAAGTGTATTTCAGATATATCTACACAAGCGTGAAATGTTTAACTTCATTATTTTACAACAGCAGCAGTGCAGTTCACAAACATCACAACAAGAGTAATATATATTACAATACTTTAAATTCATTAGATTTGCTAAGGTGTAATTCTGGGAAATCTCCACACGAGGGCAATAAAATGTCGGTTGTCAGCATCAGTGGATAAAAATACACACAACTACAGCTGCACCACAAGAAGGAGAAATCTCAGTGCTTTACATTTACGGTTGTTGCTAGAGCGGATACGTTTGCGGCCGGAAGTTAACGCGAATTATTTCTATTATTTATTAACTTTCTCATTTGTTGTATTTTATTAACGTCTACCCCCACCCCAACCCTAAACCCAACCGTCACAGTACTGTGAAAATATTAATTATTGTTATACAGTGTCAAAAAAATGCTGCTTTATTAATGTGCATATTGCACTCCCGGCCGGCCGCATATCCGATCTAGACTTTACCTACATTTACTGTGCTGAAATCCACAAAAATCACCACAATCTTTCAAATCAATAAATCTGCAAAGGTGTAATTCAGAAAACTCCACAGGAGGGCGACATGTTTACATTCAGTCAATGAGATTTGCAGTGGTGTAATTCAGAAATATCTCCACAGGAGGGAGAAACTTTCATTCTTTTAGAACGGCAGCAGTGCAGTCCACAAAAATCCCCACAAGAAGGCGCTGTTATAGCGAATATTTTAAATTCAGTGGTTCAAGATTTGCAAAGGTGTAATTCATAACAATCTCCACAGGAGGGCGCAATATTTGATACATATGTTATATTTGTCTATTGTTAGATCAGATATTCAGTGTGTAATAATGTGTGTTGACTCTACAGGATCAGTGACGTGTTGTGGACTGTAAGCCTGTTGAACAGAAGCAGAGACGTGTGGACAGACACTGACTGTACTGATGATGATCATCTGCTGCTGCACAGGTGATGTAGATCATGTGTGATTGTGTGTGTGTTTGTCTTGCACATGTCGGTTACCATCATTTGCTTTGTGGAGGGTCACTCCTCTAGAAAGTAAATGATGGTAACCGAAACGGGTGGGGAAGGGACGAAGGTCCAGAATTTTTATACAGTTCATTTTAATTTTTTGGCAGGCTGTAAAGTATAACCCCTGCTGGACACGGCTCCGGAAGCTCCAGGGGGAGACCGAACTGGTATCCCCCCTTCTTCAGGCGCGCCTCACACTCACTCACCATTCACACATATCGCAGAGTTCTGGCTGGGACCGATACCAGCAACCCCTGAAGCCGTGGGGCAGCGCTCTTACCACAGAGCCACAGATCTCCATGTCTGAACACTTGCTGGAACTGATGTTGGACTGCTGACCTGTGTGTGACCTGATTCAATAAAACAAGATAAATGTCAGATCTGAACTCTTGTCTTTATGAGTCTCTTCCTCAGAGAACTTGTGTTTATTCTCTTGCCCATCATGTGTTTCACATCAGCGTCCATCATCAGAAGCTCCTGGTGAAAATAATGAGCTCAGATAAACATTAATCATAGTGAGGTTTGAACCCGGGTCTCCTTGACTTAATCTCAGCACTTTATGACCTGAGCCACTGAGTCTCGATGGTGAAGGAGGTGTTGGAATGGGGCTTTATCACTATTCTCAATATGACCAAAGTTTGACAGATATTTCTTTGTAATTTGGCCCACAAAAAGTCTATCGCCAAATGTCAAACCCTTTGGCTCAGTGGATGAGCGTTCAGCTTCTGTTTAGAGGTGTGAAGGATCGAATCTCTCTTCTGCTAGATCCAGATACAAGTGAGATCTGAACTCTTGTCTTTATGAGTCTCTTCCTCAGAGAACTTGTGTTTATTCACCCATCACGGGTTTCACACCAGTGTCCATCATCAGGAGCTCCTGGTGAATATAATAAACTCAAGACGGACATTAGCCAAAGTGAGGTTTGAACCCGGATCTCTTTGATTAAAGCTTAACACTTTATGACCTGAGCCACTGAGTCTGGGTGATGAATTATGTGTCTGAATAAGGCTTTATCACTATTTACATCATGACGATGGTTTGGCATATGTTTCTTTGTAATTTGGCCCACGAAACACACACAACCATATGTCAAGCGATGTGGTTTAGTGGACGAGTCGTTGACTGTCATACAGTAGTGTAAAGGATTGAATCCCACTTCTGCTCATTTTGTATCATATCTTTCTCAAAACTCTCAATAAAACCAATTTTAAAACACAATAAATTATCAAACTCAATAGCTCAAGTCATAAAGCAATGTGCATTCATACAGGAGACATGGGTTCAAATCCCACTATTGCTTACTTTACTTTCGGGTGCTGGGATTCAATCAAACAGTGTGGCCCAAACAGCAGCTGACAGACTGAAAGCCATGATGGGCTAGTGGGTGAACACATGTTTGTTGTGGATAAGGTTACGCCAGGGGCCTGGGCATGAAACCTGCCGTGATGTGTGGCTCACAACAACAACAATGTATATGCAAACAGCAAGGTAATTATGGCGGAACCACAAACATAGAAAACCTTTTTTTTTAATTTTTTTTTAATACCTCAGCAGTAAAAAGCAGCAGCAGGGCTTGGATTTGAACCCAGGTATGCTGCGACAGTTTCAGACGTCATGATGTGTGCTCTTACCACTACACCATCACCACACACTTAAACCCACATTTCTTTCTCCAATGTGAGGATAACCACATTCACACATTTTGAAAAAAATAAATAATTAAAGAAACACAAATAATTAATATAAAATGTAAATTATTCTAAATTAATGTGAACTGCATCATATGCTAATATATTATTACATTTCAGTGTTCAAAATGTGAAAACCTGCTTATTCTTCAATCAAACACATCAACCATATGTTAAATGATCTTACAGCTGCTTGTGGGGCTTTAAATGTCACTAAACACAATTAAACACTGTAAATATCATCATTTACTTCTAAAGTCTCCTCATACTGTACTGATGACTCTACACCAAATCTGGCCAATCAAATGCTTTCTACAGAAAGTCCCTCCCCTAACAAACATGCGACAGAGCAGCAGCACAACAAACACACTTTCTGGACTCTCTACTGGAAATATGAGCTCATAAATACCTTTACTGGAGCTGTGAATCCGCCTGGATGTGGAGGAGTGTGTGGAGGAGCGTCAGCTGTTGAGAACAGGTCAAAGAGCTGCAGCAGAAACACAACAGACACACGTGTGTATCTTCACTGCTGCAGAGGAGAGAGAGAGAGCAATGACTGAACACAAACACTACAGCAACATCACTACAAACTAAACCAACAGAGCAAAGTCCCTTACAGGTGAGTCGCGTTACTCTCCATTTCTGGACTTCGCTGTCAGGCTGTAATATCTGCTGTTGACTGACATTATGAGTCTGGCACTGAGCTGTCATCTGCTGGAGCTCAACTTGACGCCAGTAAAACGGTGTACCTGTGATGATCTGTGTCGCTGTTGTCAAATTGTCCAGGCTAAAAGAGCAGCTCGCTGATGCCGCCTAGTGGAGCGGATGGAGAACTGCGATTTACAGATTATGTGCTGGACATCACATCAGTGTTACATATTGTAAAAATAATTCAATACTTTATGTAATGTATGTAAGTTAAAGCTGCTTTATGTAGCTAACTGTTTTTACAGAACTTTTGAATTAAGTGCTTAAATTGTAATGTAAATGTAAGGATCAACATTCTCATTTAATTTTCTTATTAATTTGCTGATGTTTATTTGCAATTGATTTCGCAAAATAATTCAGCACACACAGTTCATAATTTTAAGTTAATTAGAAATTCGCTTAATCGATCATTTGCCCTGGATTTTGTATCACCATAGTCCCTAAATAACAGGTAAATGCAGTAAATGGGATTTAAATCAGCAAACTGTCCCCCATTTTCCCCAATTTGTTTAGAAGAGAGGCTGGAAAACACATTAAACAAATTATTATTATTATTATTATTATTATTATTATTATTATTATTATTATTATTATTATGATTAATTATTAATATTATTATTATTAATTAATTAATTATTATTATAATTCAAATAGCCAAATTCTAAAGAGGAAAGTTGAATGCACCTGGCAGGGTTTTATTTGACTAATAAATGGAAGACATCTACAGATTTTTTAAATTGAAAACAAGTTTTTACAGATTGATAAAATATTTATCTTTTTATAAATCACTGAGCTGTAATCTTCCACATAATCTATTTTCATGCAATAAAACCATTGACTTAAAATGGCTTAATTATGCTGCCTAATGAAGCAGATGGAAAACTGCACTTTTTATGTATTTATTTATTTTATTGTTTTATTTATTTATTTATTTAATTTATTTATTGTTTTATTTATTTGTTTATTTATTTATTGTTTTATTGTCAGACTGGCGAGGTTTGCCTCTTGCATTCTTCAGTCACAGAAAAAGTGAATTAGCCTGGAGTGTTTGTCAAATACATAGCAAGCTTTCATGTAGCAACACTTTCTTTTTTCATTTGATCATTTATGTAACTTTTGTGTTTTAACATGAATTATGCATGCGCGAGTGCTTTGTATGTATCAGTCTGAGAACGAATTGATCAAATCCAATTGGGACTATTTAAGAACAGTCAGTCTCATTCCTGCTGTGAAGGGGCACAGAACCTTCGTGACTCGTCAAATGCACAAACAGAAAGTAGTTCTGGCTACAATGTTCTCAATGTAAACCAAAAAAATACGGCTTTTAAAATCTTTGTCAATAAATTGAAAGGTAAATTTATATCTATTCATTAGAATATTTGATTGCACATTTTAAATTAGAACATTAATTGTTTATATTTATTTATTTATTAAATATTGGTCATCATAATAGCAACATTGTGAATGTGAACTGTTGTTTCCACTAACACTTCTTGTTCACTGTAAACATGTCAACTAGGCATGCGACGGTAATCGCAATTTGGAACAGTCAAGGTATTAAAACCGCCAACATTTTCTGCTATACCGTTCCAAAGGTATATGTAAGATATATATTTTTTCATTTTGTTTTAAGTTCTTCAGGACAAAAGAATCAACAGCAGAAAATATATTCAAAGATGCTGTTTTAAACTGTAATGAAATCAGTGTCTTTGAAACTAAGGACTGCAGAAATCAATTATTCATGTGAATTATTTAGCCGTCTGACATGTTTTCTATTCCAAAATATCTTAAAAGTTTCTCAAAATCAAATATATTATGGTCAAAGAGGAAAAAGGTTGTTGTTTTTTACCAGTGGTGGAAAATTACAAGTACTGTTGCATTGCTGAAATTAAACTCAATTACAAGTAAATGTACTGCTGCTAAAAAGTTCTTAAGTAAAAGTACAATTTACTCTTCATAAAAACTACTCAGAGTACAAATGACTTTTTTAGCTGGCGGTATTGGTGGAATTATCCATAATTGCCTAATCAGACAAGATCCAGACAATAAAACACATTTTACACAACACATTTGACGATACTATAAACACTTTTGAAAGCGTGTAAACAGCATTTACTGAACTTTCAGGTGTGGTTTATATTTAATCAAAACCGGAGCACCCAGACGAAACCCACGCCAGCATGGGGAGAACATGCAAACTCCACACAGAAATCACTCAGTCGGGGCTTGAACCAACAACCTCACAAAAATTAAGTTGTTAGTCTTCTAGAAAAATGAGGTTTTCTAAAAACACTTTTGCAACTTTATGAACAGTATTAACTTATCCCTGATCAATTAATACAGTCTGTATTACAATGATGATGGACTTGCATGTTCCTGTGATGATTATCTTATCAATAGCGCACCGCAATTATTTTACAAAAACAATGTTTTGCTTTTGTGAGTATAAAGACAACAGACATATACACACAAAAATAGACTCTTTATAATTTCAAATGATGCCTCTCTTATCTGTACGATCAACAGACGATTTAATCAGAAAAAAACACCCTTGCAAATCATGGAGAAACTTTGCTAATTATCTAATCGCATGAACGAACCGTCAAAAACCACAGAACAACACAAGTCTTGTAACAGGGTTTCTGCAGATATCATAATGTCAAATTGAAGACTTTTTAAGAGATTTTTAAGACCATTACGTATTAAATTTATACATCACAATATCAAAAACATGCAAGAGAAAATGCAAAATCACAAAATTTGTGGTAAAATAAAACTATTGCAATTGAACAGTACTAAAGACAGGTCAGATGCACCATTAAACTACAGCAAAAAACAAACAAACAAACATCTTAAGGCTGATTAATACTTTCGCCTGGCACCTCACGAAACAAATGAGGCTTTTAAACTTGACTCGTTCGCTGTTGTGATATTCTTTAAAACCACAGGAAAGAACCCACTGTAAAGTCAGACGGATAAACAGAGAAGTAGGACGTTTCCAGAACTACATCATATCATTAATATTGTTCAAGTTTTTAAAACTAATAGTTTTTATATATTTATATATATATATATATATATTTTTTTTTTTTTAATTTATCATAATGATTACAAAGTTGGGCGACAGGGTGGCGCAGAGGGTAGTGCTCTCGCCTCACAGCAAGAAGGTCACTGCACTTTCAGTCACAGATTTGTGGTTTAGGGTCAAGCTTGTTGTAATCCAGATGTATGAAATGCTGTCTGAGTAATCTTTGCACGTGTGTGCTTAAATTAAACTCATGCCATTCATTTATTTTATTTCAGTTAGTCAAAAAAATATAACTACTCTTGGTCATGGCCCTGACAGCTCCACAAGAAGGCGAAATCATTAAATTCATTACTTTAAATTTGCAATGGTGTAATTCACCAAAATCTCCACAGGAGGGTGACTTTGAATTCCTTTATTTTTAAACTGGCAGCAGTGCAGTTCACTGCAATCACCACAAGAGGGAGAATGTTTTAAATGAGTTAGATTTGCAATGGTGTAATTCAAAAAAAATCGCCACACGAGGGCGCAATGTTTTATAAATACGTATTATTTTTATATTTGTCGACTCCAACTTAAAATGGCAGCAGTACAGTTCACAATAATCACCACAAGGGGAAATTTTCAAATTCAGTAAATTCAAGATTTGCAAAAGTGTAATTTTGAGAAATCCCCACAGGAGGGCGCAATATTAGAAACATGTAATATTTGCATATTTGTCTATTGTCGGATCAGATATTCAGTGTGTAATCTTGTGTTTATTTGTGTGTCGACTCTACAGGATCAGTGAAGTGTTGTGGACTGTAAGCCTGTTGAACAGAAGCAGAGACGTGTGGACAGACACTGACTGTACTGATGATGATCATCTGCTGCTGCACAGGTGATGTAGATCATGTGTGTGATTGTGTGTGTTTGTCTTGCACATGTCGGTTACCATCATTTGCTTTGTGGAGGGTCACTCCTCTAGAAAGTAAATGATGGTAGCCGAAACGGGTGGGGAAGGGACGAAGGTCCAGAATTTTTATACAGTTCATTTTAAATTTTTTGGCAGGCTGTAAAGTATAACCCCTGCTGGACACGGCTCCGGAAGCTCCAGGGGGAGACCGAACTGGTATCCCCCCTTCTTGAGGCGCGCCTCACACTCACTCACCATTCACACATATCGCAGAGTTCTGGCTGGGACCGATACCAGCAACCCCTGAAGCCGTGGGGCAGCGCTCTTACCACAGAGCCACAGATCTCCTGTCTGAATACTTGCTGGAACTGATGTTTGATTCTATCTGAGCTGTGACTGGACAATAAACTAGTTGAAGAAGTTTAAACTCTTTTCTTGTTGAGGTGGGATTAGACCTCATGTCTTTACTGGAGGATTGAGATCTCACACAAGCCACTTTTTCCACAGAGCCACAGGTCTCTTGTATGAACACCTGCTGGAAACACATATTTCACTGCCGATTTGTGTGTGACAATAAAGAAGTTAGCCACTTTTCATGCCAAGGTTGGAACCCATGTCCTCAATGAAGGATTGAGATTACATGCCACACACTCTTACCACAGAGCCACAGATCACCTGTCTGACTGCTTGCTGGAAGGTATATTTGACTTTAACTAAGCTGTGATTGGACAATTAACTAGTTAAATTGTTCTCTATGCTACAGTTGGATTAGAAACCATATTATGCCTGATGAATTGAGATTTCAAAGGATGTGCTCTTACCACAGAGCCACAAATGTCTTCACTGACCCAGTCTTGTCAGAAACTTATATATCCCAGAGATTTTAATAACTATAATAAAGCAGTACATAAGTGGGATGTGAACCCCTGTCTCAAAGGTGGGAGCTGAACTCCTTATCTGCTGAGCCACTGAGTCTGACGGTCAAATAAATGTTTTGGTTATTATATTTTTGAGAGCTGTGTTATTTAAGGGAAGAATCATGCATTTGCAGGGTTTGAACTCTGATTTATGCACATGACAGGAAAGTGTTTAGCCATTGTACCACAAAGGTGATGTTTTGTGATGGTGTTTAGGGTTTTTATGAGTATAATTGCAGAGAGGAATGATTTGAAACAAGAAACAATTAGCTTTGAACCCTGAACTTCATGTTTGAAGCTCAAAGGTTTTATCCCAAGCACCACTGGGTCTGTGACAAATGAGCATGTGTTTTAAACTGTAGGATAAAATATAACAACTACTTACTTTCTGTAAAGGTGAGAGTTAAGCAACGATGGGACTCAAACCCAAGGTTTCCAACATCCAAAGATAATCAGTAATCCACTGCACCAGAGAATCTGTAAGGACACATCATTGTTTTAAATGGGGTTTAGACTCTTTGGGACCTGAATTTCTTCATAAATAAGCACATTGGTGATTGGAGGATTCAAACTCAGACTTACCAAACACAAAGTACAAACAACTATCCACTGACCCACAGAAGACAACACAAAGCTTGTGTAATTGTCTCTAATCCTGCTGCTGCTCCACTTTCTTGAGTTTAACTACAACCTGATTGAAAACACCTGAAGCCAATCAAGGTCTTAAGCATCACCAGAAACCAATTAAGGTCTTCAGCATCACCAGAAACGTCCATGCAGGTTTGTGCTCAGTTTTGAACTCATATAAAATGCATTTGCTTCCATCAGTTATTTTAATTGTACGTGTTCACTTTTAGAGTTGAGAAGTAAAGTTAATAAAGATCTTTAATGACTGGTTATGTGTCACTTTTTAAAATACACAAGCAGAAGCACTACTAGACATTTCTAAGACATAGTGAGGTTTTGTTCATAGGTACAATTGTTCATAGGTAATGTGCTAGGAAATTTTTTTGTGCCGCATGTTCTTAAGCTACTAAAAGTTCATTAAATTTCACAAAATTCACCACAGAAGGATGCAACATATTGAGGACAATTTGAGTCAATTTGTAATGATGTAGTTAGCAAAAATAAAATGTATTTATTTATTTTAATTACCACAGAAGAGCGCAATTACGTCAATTAGTTGTAGTTAGCAAAAAACACCACAGGAGGGCGCAATAAAGTCAATTAGGTGTAGTTAGCAAAAAACACCACAGGAGGGCGCAATAAAGTCAATCAGGTGTAGTTAGCAAAAAACACCACAGGAGGGCGCAATTACGTCAATTGGTTGTAGTTAGCAAAAAACACCACAGGAGGGCACAATAAAATCAATTTGATGTAGTTAGCAAAAAACACCACAGGAGGGTGCAATAAAGTCAATCAGGTGTAGTTAGCAAAAAACACCACAGGAGGGTGCAATAAAGTCAATCAGGTGTAGTTAGCAAAAACACCACAGGAGGGCGCAATAAAGTCAATCAGGTGTAGTTAGCAAAAAACACCACAGGAGGGCACAATAAAGTCAATTAGTTGTAGTTAGCAAAAAACACCACAGGAGGGTGCAATAAAGTCAATCAGGTGTAGTTAGCAAAAAACACCACAGGAGGGTGCAATAAAGTCAATCAGGTGTAGTTAGCAAAAAACACCACAGGAGGGCGCAATAAAGTCAATCAGGTGTAGTTAGCAAAAAACACCACAGGAGGGCACAATAAAGTCAATTAGTTGTAGTTAGCAAAAAGCACCACAGGAGGGCGCAATAAAGTCAATATGATGTAGTTAGCAAAAACACCACAGGAGGGCGCAATAAACTCAATCAGATGTAGTTAGCAAAAACACCACAGGAGGGCGCAATAAACTCAATCAGATGTAGTTAGCAAAAACACCACAGGAGGGCGCAATAAAGTCAATTTGATGTAGTTAGCAAAAACACCACAGGAGGGCACAATAAACTCAATCAGATTTAGTTAGCAAAAAACACCACAGGAGGGCGCAATAAAGTCAATTAGATGTAGTTAGCAAAAACACCACAGGAGGGCGCAATAAAGTCAATTTGATGTAGTTAGCAAAAACACCACAGGAGGGCACAATAAACTCAATCAGATGTAGTTAGCAAAAACCCCACAGGAGGGCGCAATAAAGTCAGGAGGGCACAATAAAGTCCATTAGATGTAGTTAGCAAAACACCACAGGAGGGCGCAATAAACTCAATCAGATGTAGTTAGCAAAAACCCCACAGGAGGGCGCAATAAAGTAAATTTGTTGTAGTTAGCATAAAACACCACAGGAGGGCACAATAAAGTCAATCAGATGTAGTTAGCAAAAAACACCACAGGAGGGCGCAATAAAGTCAATTAGATGTAGTTAGCAAAAACACCACAGGAGGGCGCAATAAAGTCAATCAGATGTAGTTAGCAAAAACACCACAGGAGGGCACAATAAAGTCAATCAGATGTAGTTAGCAAAAAACACCACAGGAGGGCACAATAAAGTCAATCAGATGTAGTTAGCAAAAACACCACAGGAGGGCACAATAAAATCTATTTGATGTAGTTAGCAAAAACACCACAGGAGGGCACAATAAAGTCAATCAGATGTAGTTAGCAAAAACACCACAGGAGGGCACAATAAAATCAATTTGATGTAGTTAGCAAAAACACCACAGGAGGGCACAATAAAGTCAATCAGATGTAGTTAGCAAAAACACCACAGGAGGGCACAATAAAGTCATTTAGATGTAGTTAGCAAAAACACCACAGGAGGGCACAATAAAATCAATTTGATGTAGTTAGCAAAAACACCACAGGAGGGCACAATAAAGTCAATCAGATGTAGTTAGCATAAAACACCACAGGAGGGCGCAATAAAGTCAATTTGTTGTAGTTAGCAAAAACACCACAGGAGGGCAGAATAAAGTCAATTAGATGTAGTTAGCAAAGTCCACCACAGGAGGGCACAATAAAATCAATTTGATGTAGTTAGCAAAAACACCACAGGAGGGCACAATAAAGTCAATCAGATGTAGTTAGCAAAAACACCACAGGAGGGCGCAATAAAGTAAATTTGTTGTAGTTAGCATAAAACACCACAGGAGGGCACAATAAAGTCAATCAGATGTAGTTAGCAAAAAACACCACAGGAGGGCGCAATAAAGTCAATCAGATGTAGTTAGCAAAAACACCACAGGAGGGCGCAATAAAGTCAATTAGATGTAGTTAGCAAAAACACCACAGGAGGGCACAATAAAGTCAATCAGATGTAGTTAGCAAAAAACACCACAGGAGGGCACAATAAAGTCAATTAGATGTAGTTAGCAAAAACACCACAGGAGGGCACAATAAAGTCATTTAGATGTAGTTAGCAAAAACATCACAGGAGGGCACAATAAAGTCATTTAGATGTAGTTAGCAAAAACACCACAGGAGGGCACAATAAAATCAATTTGATGTAGTTAGCAAAAACACCACAGGAGGGCACAATAAAGTCAATCAGATGTAGTTAGCAAAAACACCACAGGAGGGCACAATAAAATCAATTTGATGTAGTTAGCAAAAACACCACAGGAGGGCGCAATAAAGTCAATCAGATGTAGTTAGCATAAAACACCACAGGAGGGCGCAATAAAGTCAATTTGTTGTAGTTAGCAAAAACACCACAGGAGGGCACAATAAAGTCAATTAGATGTAGTTAGCAAAGTCCACCACAGGAGGGCGCAATAAAGTCAATCAGATGTAGTTAGCAAAAAACACCACAGGAGGGCACAATAAAGTCAATTAGATGTAGTTAGCAAAAACACCACAGGAGGGCAGAATAAAGTCAATTAGATGTAGTTAGCAAAAACACCACAGGAGGGCACAATAAAGTCAATTTGTTGTAGTTAGCAAAAACACCACAGGAGGGCAGAATAAAGTCAATTAGATGTAGTTAGCAAAGTCCACCACAGGAGGGCGCAATAAAGTCAATCAGATGTAGTTAGCAAAAAACACCACAGGAGGGCACAATAAAGTCAATTAGATGTAGTTAGCAAAAACACCACAGGAGGGCACAATAAAGTCAATTAGATGTAGTTAGCAAAAACACCACAGGAGGGCGCAATAAAGTCAATTAGATGTAGTTAGCAAAAACACCACAGGAGGGCACAATAAAGTCAATTAGATGTAGTTAGCAAAAACACCACAGGAGGGCGCAATAAAGTCAATTTGATGTAGTTAGCAAAAAACACCACAGGAGGGCACAATAAAGTCAATTAGATGTAGTTAGCATAAAACACCACAGGAGGGTGCAATAAAGTCGATTAGATGTAGTTAGCAAAAAACACCACAGGAGGGCACAATAAAGTCAATTTGTTGTAGTTAGCAAAAAACACCACAGGAGGGCACAATAAAGTCAATTAGATGTAGTTAGCAAAAACACCACAGGAGGGCGCAATAAAGTCAATTTGTTGTAGTTAGCAAAAAACACCACAGGAGGGCACAATAAACTCAATCAGATGTAGTTAGCAAAAAACACCACAGGAGGGCGCAATAACGTCAATTAGATGTAGTTAGCAAAAACACCACAGGAGGGCACAATAAAGTCCATTAGATGTAGTTAGCAAAAACACCACAGGAGGGCGCAATAAAGTCGATTCGTAGCGATGTAGTTCACAAAATCACTGCTGGAGGGCGCTACACATTGAGAATCATTCGAACTAAAACAAGTCACAGCTCTACAGGTTCAGTGGTGCAAGTAATAATGAGCTGTGACTTCAAGCGTGAGGTCTTAAGTTTGAATCCAGCTATCAATTATGTTTAACTCTCATCATTACATCAAAATCGCTTAAATGCCACACTTGCCTGTGAATTCACAGTGGGTCAGTGGATGAACACGTGGTCGCTGAGAACAAGGTGACAATGGAGATATGGGTTCATGACACACCTACAGGTTTCTCAACCGTGTATATATTATCAACATGACCACTCAAATAGAGTCAAATACGAGTTCCTGCAAATCATTTGCCAAGAGATCTGTGGCTCTGTGGTAAGAGCACATGGGATGAGTTCTCAATCCACCAGAGAAAACACAGGTACTAATCCCACATCAGCATGAAAGAGTTTAACTTCTTCAACTGGTTTATTGTCCAATCACAGCTCAGAAAGAGTCAAATATCAGTTCCAACGGGTATTTAGACAGGAGATCTGTGGCTCTGTGGTAAGAGCACATGGTATGAGATCTCAATCCACCAGTAGTGACAATGGTTCCAACCTCAACATGAAAAGAGTTAAACATATTTAACTAGTTTATTGTCCAATCGCAGCTCAGCTTGATTCAAACATCAGTTCCAGCAAGTGTTCAGTCAGGAGATCTGTGGCTCTGTGGTAAGAGCGCTGCCCCACGGCTTCAGGGGTTGCTGGTATCGGTCCCAGCCAGAACTCTGCAATATGTGTGAATGGTGAGTGAGTGTGAGGCGCGCCTGAAGAAGGGGGGATACCAGTTCGGTCTCCCCCTGGAGCTTCCGGAGCCGTGTCCAGCAGGGGTTATACTTTACAGCCTGCCAAAAAAAATTTAAAAGAAACTGTATAAAAATTCTGGACCTTCGTCCCTTCCCCACCCGTTTCGGTTACCATCATTTACTTTGTAGAGGAGTGACCCTCCACAGAGCAAATGATGGTAACCGACATGTGAAATAGCCACATACACACACACAATCACACACATGATCTACATCACCTGTGCAGCAGCAGATGATCATCATCAGTACAGTCAGTGTCTGTTCACACGTCTCTGCTTCTGTTCAACAGGCTTACAGTCCACAACAAGTCACTGATCCTGTAGAGTTCAACACAAATAAACACGTGATTACACACTGAATATATGATCCGACAATAAGACATATAAATAAAAATATGATAAAAATAAATAAAATTACGCCCTCCTGTGGAGATTTTTCTGAATTACACCCTTGCAAATTTAAAATCTAGTGAAGTTAAAATATTCGCCCCCATGTGGTGATTTCTGTGAACTGCACTGCTGCTGTTCTAAAATAATGAAATTCAGTCACCCTCATGTGGAGATTTTACTGAATTACAACATTACCAATGTAATCGAATCTAATTACACATTGCATATTTATCAGCAGATACATATACAAATATTACATATTTATAAAATATTGCAGATTGTATTAAACTAGAGTAATACTGTATTAATCATGTTAATTCAATCAACTGTTTGCACTGTTTATCATTTTACTAATAAGCCCTTTTCACATTTGCAATTTACTCCGAAGATAATATAATATAATATAATATAATATAATATAATATAATATAATATAATATAATATAAAAATATAATATAATATAATATAACAATATAATATAGTATAATATAATATAATATAATATAATATAACAACATAATATAATATAATATAATATAATATAACAATATAATATAATATAATATAACAATATAATATAGTATAATATAATATAATATAATATAACAACATAATATAATATAATATAATATAACAATATAATATAATATAATATAATATAATATAATATAATATAATATAATATAATATAATATAACAATATAATATAGTATAATATAATATAATATAATATAATATAATATAATATAATATAATATAATATAATATAACAACATAAAGAATTTAAATGTTTTGCCCTCCTTTGGTGATTTTGTGAACTGCACTGCTCTATTCTCTAATGAAATTAAAAGTGTCGCCCTCGTGTGGAGATTTTGGTAAATTACACCATTGCAAATCTAAACTCATTATTTTAGTGTCTCCCCTGGAGCATGACTAAGACCATGACCAATACTTTTTGACAAAAATAACCTTTACTCTTGTAAAATAAAATATACCCTTTAATCTGAGCAAATCCAATGTTACAGATGTGACATTTGTAGTAAAATCTCAAAACATACATTCACAGAGAAAGTATATACTAACATTATTTTGAAACATCTGTTTATATTTTCCAAAACAACTAAGCAGAGTTACGGAATCAGAAAAAATATCAATAATATTTTGTATTTTAAATGAGAGAAATAAACATGCTTTATGAGAATGTCTGAATATCTGAATATAAAACCAGCTTTACCTCTATCAATTCAATGTGGTCATGTCATTGGTCCATGCTTGCTATCAAACTATTTCATAACTGTAACAAGAGGCAATTCAATTATAACTTAACTTTAAAATAGTAGTAGTAAACTTTTGTGTCCTTGACAGGAAATTTGTTATATTTACAAAACATTTATAAAAAAAGCAATAAAAACAATACAAAATACAGCAGTTACAACATTTCTAATGCTAATTAAGATAGACTCTTGTTAAATAAACCCACTGAAACAGGAACAAAGGTACCCTTATAACGGTTTAACCTACACTTTGGGACTCTATATCTTCTACCCGAGGAAAGCAGATTGTAATGTGGAAACAAAAAATGAGTTGGATCATTCACAATCCTTTCCACCTGACTGAGGACACACCTTCACATATCCATCGTGTCCAACAATTTTCCATCCCGTCTTTAAGAGATGCATCAATTTAGATTTACACTAAACAGATAGGCTGCCAAACCACACTGTGATACCACATCTAACAATGCTTTCAAGTACAGCTTCATAAAACTTGTTAACTCCAAAAAGACGCAACCTCCGTAAAAAAATACAATCTCTGGTGTAAATGAGAACAAACCCACTCAATGTGTGTGTTTCCATGTCAAAGAACTGTCAATGTAAATGCCAAAGTACTTATAGATTCCTGACTGAGTAATAGGATGGTCACGTACAACCACTTGACGATGGTCACCTATACACTTTGGGTCAAATACCATCTCTTCTGTTTTCTTAGTATTTATTTTTAGCTTATTTATATCACACCACTCAATGAACCGACTAATTTCTGACTGGTAGATAACACTAAAATCATCATTCTTATAAAATAAACTTCATTTGGCTGTGTCATCTGAATATTTAATAATACAATTCTGTGAACGCTTACTTGAACATTCATTTGTAAATACTGGCACAGCCTTGTGGAACCCCAGTACTGCTGTTCTTTTCATCTGAACAGATATTTTTAACCTTTACAACCCAAGTTCTGTTTGTTAAAAATGAGAAATACCATTTACATATGCATGGGTTTATATTCAATCTTTCCAATTAAGTAAACAAATGTAGTTGGATCGTATTGAAAGCGGATCTAAAATCAATAAAAAACTGCTATCATAACATTATTTATTAATATGTGGCTCTTTTTATATTCTCAGAAGCTATAGAAATTAAAAATGTAAAGCAGATAATATATTGGGACTACTGTTATTGTTTACATCCCTCAAAATGGTCTATAAATATATTATTTTGACTTGCAGTAAGACTAAAAACAACAAAAACTAATTGTTTTACTATGTATTATGTGAATATGACTAATTAATAATATAAAGAGAATAATTTAAAGACTAAACATGAAACAATAACTGTGGAGATTAATTTGTTGTGATGCTCTGACGTTTTTAGTTTGTTTATACATTTTACTACTGAATTCTGTGACGAGATGAACTTTATGCGTAAAGTAACTTACCGGTTAGTTGCTGGACGCTTTATTGGTCGTGTATTTGTTGTAATGAGTGTCATTAAAGTGATATCAATAGCTGTCAGTCGCAGGAACTGTATTTACAAACAACGCGCGTGTTGTAGCGTCATGTTGTTGTCAAGGATTGTCAAGACGTCTCGCTTCCGCTGCCTAGTGGAGCGGATGAAAACTGCACTTCAGTTTCCATCATTTGACTATTAGTATAAAAGTATAAATGATCGTGTTTTATAAATATATACATGTGTGTTTTAAAACAATGGACAGAGAATGTACATCACAATGTTTAACAACTGATTCGTGTCGAATGTGCGTTTGGCGAATGGACAGGCGCGTTCACGTGTGAGTGTGACACGTCATTCAGTGGCTCGAGCACGGAAGTGTTTGCATCCTTCGTCAGGAAGACAGCAGTACTAAAGTGTTAAATCTAAAATGGGTAAGTCTTCGCGAATCAAAACATATTTGGTTTAATATTATAAACAGACTAGGCGTAGATCTTATAGTGTAATTCACACGTACATCTGTTTGTGTGCTTACAAATGAAAGTTTGTTCATCGCATGGTGATGCTAACGTTAGTCTGTTTGTTAGCATACCTGATAACTCAGAAATGAATCAATAAACTCTTAATGAGCCAATCTAGAGTGTTCTCTTAATGATGGAAAGCGTATATAAACAAATACATGTAGGATGATCGTCAAACTGACTTGCGTTCTTGTATGTAACGTTACTTATGATCTATTAATATGTTATTACTACATAATACGTTATAATATAACATCAGCACTGATTATATTTCATATATCTGTTATATTTATACAGGAGGATTCTTTTCCAGCCTCTTCTCTGGCCTGTTTGGCACCAGAGAGATGAGAATCCTTATTTTAGGTCTGGATGGAGCTGGAAAAACCACAATATTGTACAGACTTCAAGTGGGAGAAGTGGTCACCACAATTCCTAGTAAGTGTGTGTTTGTGATTTCTATACACAACCTCAGTCATGTGTTGTGCTGTGAACTCATTTCTGATATATTTCTCTGTTTTCGAACACAGCTATTGGGTTTAATGTGGAGACTGTGACTTATAAGAACCTTAAGTTTCAAGTGTGGGATCTTGGTGGACAGACGAGTATCAGGTAAGATGTTGTTGTTTGGTTTGTATTATCTTGATAAATGAAGAAGCCAAGCTGAAGATTTGATCCTCCTCCTCCTCCTCCATAGGCCATACTGGCGGTGTTACTACTCCAACACGGATGCAGTGATTTACGTGGTGGACAGCAGTGATCGTGACCGAATGGGCATCTCCAAATCTGAACTGGTGGCTATGTTGGAGGTCAGTCTCATGGTTTTTGTCATTTTACATTAAATTGAGCAAAACAGTCAAGATACAGATGTAAAAAAGTAGTACTCCATTCATTCAACAACAGATAAACATTTTAAGTTTGATCTGCTGTGAGCGCTTAGGTTGTTAACAGATCATATATGCTTTTTTTCAACTCATCTGCTCACATTTAAAGGGATGGTTCGTCCAAAACTTAAAATTCCGGCTTAATTTACTCACTTTTCCCTTTTTCAGACATGTTTAAAGTTTCTACTGTTGAACATAAAAGCAGATCGTTTGAAGAAAAATGAAAACCTGTATCCATTAACTTCCATTATATTTACTTTTCCTACAATGGAGGTCAATGGTTACAGGTTTTCCGCTTTCTTCAAATAGTCATCTTTTGTGTTCAACAGAAGAAAGAAACTCAAACTAGTTCTGAAACAAGTGAAAAGTAATTAAATACTTTGTAGATTTTCATTTTTGGGTGTGCTAACCCTTTAAAAGAGGGATTTCTGCAGCAAAACTACATTACCCATAATGCAATACAGAAAATTCTACCAGTTAGCAAAGAAAAACTCACATGAAGCACTGCTAATAATGTAGTTTAGTTCCCTCTTTTAAATACCTGTGTAAATATGCATTTTATTTTTAAAGCAATGAAATTTAATAATGTCATTTACATTGCTTCATGGGATTGTAGTTCTTTCAATCATTAAAGCTATACAGTTTCCACCATACACTGGCTTAAATCAGACCATGCGATTCTCCTCTTAGCTGGTTAGTTCGGTTCCTAGCCTTTAGTGCTTTAAATAAGTCTACAATTCCTATGGGGACAATACTTGTGGAACTGGAACTAACATAATAGTAGGCGTACACAAGTGCATTCAATTGTCATCAGTGCATTTGACCGTGTTGTTTCTTTTCTTTCAGGAGGAAGAGCTGAAGAAAGCCATCCTGGTGGTGTTCGCGAACAAGCAGGACATGGAGCAAGCAATGACTCCAACCGAAGTGGCCAACGCTCTCGGTTTACCTGCGCTTAAAGACAGAAAGTGGCAGATCTTCAAGACGTCTGCTACTAAAGGCACTGGCCTGGACGAGGCAATGGAATGGTAGGTCATTCTCTTTCAATAAAAACAAACCTAACCTCCTAGGGCTTGAGTGTCGACATACGTGGACAGCACATTTTTAGCTCTTAAGTGTCTATTTAAAATACTTTGACATACAGTGTCATCCGGTAACTGTTTTACAGCAAATAAAATGCCCCAAACACTATTTTTACTGTCAAAAATGGACAAAAAAATGTTGTTTTTACTCTCTGGTAGTCAAAGCAAGTTCAAAAAATAATTTCAATGTTAAGTATGCATTACAAAACAGTCAGGAAAAAGTGTTTTATGTAAATTTGGACCACGAGTCCACATATATGGACATCATTTTTCTCTAAAAGTACATCATATCAAAAGATGATACCGATTTTTATTCTAGTTAGGTTCCAATAAGCCCAAATAGCAAAGAGAAATAAAAATGCATGTAAAAAAAACACCTTGGGCCTTAAGAGGTAAACATGTAGCTAGTAGCTTAGACGTTATATACTGCTGCTCTCTGCTGATTTGAAGTGCATCCTTTATTTTCATTTGTAAGCCGATTTCATTAAATGAATAAATGTAAATTGTAGTTTCTTTTTTGTGCATTGTTGATCAATACCTACATTTTCCTCGCCTTTCAGGTTAGTGGAGTCACTGAAGAGCCGGCAGTAAATGCACTCAGAAAGAAAAGACCTTGTAAATAGGAACTTCAGAGACTTCTTATCGAGTGTCCTTTGGACCAATGACTGCGTTCTTCCTATTGTGTGAAGATCCTTCCCGTCGAGTGCAGAGACTGATCGACTGGTGTTGAACGGATGAACTCTACAAATGTTTCCCCCTACCCTCTTCTCTTTTTTTTTTTTTTTTTTTTTGCTTTTCGTCTGTTTTTGGTAAACCGTATCCACTACATTTGTAACCTCAAAAGGTGTTTGCTTGTTAAATTTGAGATGGGGAATAATCATCGCAGCTGGTAATTGAGTTAAAGTGGGTCGATATTTAAGACTAATCGTCATTTGTATGCTTTGGATTTGTAATGGCATATTTATATTTGCACGTGTACAGGGGAGTGCACTCCTGGCGTTATGGCTGTGAAACAATAAATATGCAGTCTACACATTTTGCGTTGTGATTAGCATCAAACTGGTGCTTTTGCATGATTTTTGGGCGGGTTTTATTTAAAAACATTGCACAAGTTGCAGAAAAATCAATATATTGATGCATACTATTGGTCTTTTGACCACAGAGTAGGGTTTAGGTGATGTTTATGTTGTTTCTGGCCAACACACAGACCCTATATAAGCTGTGTTTTACAAAGAAAACATAGTTCAGCTAATAATTGCTAAGTCTTTCAGTGAGGTGCCTTTATGTTTCTTTGCCTTTAGTCCTGTACGCACAAACTCCATTTTCCTCTTTTTGGCCTCGTTTTTCTTCAGCTGCTTCTTTACCTTCTTTTTGGCAGCAATGTCAGGATTTACGACAGCCTGTCAGGAGGGAAAAGAGAAATTGTGAATTATTTTAGATTAGTAGAAGCTAAAATGTATCATAGAAATGACTCCATGTTCTGAGGGAACTACAAGTAAACGAAGCGTTAAGACACAATAAACATGCTACATGTTTGCTGGTCTGATTCTGAAGTGGATGATACTCAATAAAGGTGTAAAACAAGGTCTAAAAACATTGTTAGCACATTTGGTCGGATTGCTTTCATAGTGTAAACACTCCTGTAGATGAAATATCTCTCTACTACTGACCGAATATGTGAGTGTTATTGTACGTGCTGTGAGAAATCTCACTAAAATGAAGATCATACTCATTAAAAAGGTATTCATACTTCATAGTACTGTATCAAAATACAGATCTAACAGTTCCCATAAAGTTGATGTAGAGTAGGGATGCCCAATACGTCAATTGCGATTTTTTTTCCAGGCGATAACAAAGGTAGCGTGTGTAGATAGCATGGCATTAAAAAAAATAGACATCAGCCTATCATCCATCCTCACTGAAATGTGTCGCTTGATTGACATACAGAGCAGCCAGTCTGATATCGGGCCATTTCTGATGCATGGGTAACCATGTAAAACTGCACCAACTACGTTAAATGCTGCAAAACTATAGTTTAGCGAAGTCCAAATGTGATTCCAACATGACTGATGATCATTTGGAAGTGTGCTTGAGGCTGGCTATCAGCAGCTACTGTCCGGATAATGCTTGCCTGGCTGATTCCATTCTGTGTAAGTCATCAGAGTAAGGAAATGACAAAAATATGCACACAGTTGAGGGCTATTGCACAATGGGTTCATACACTTATGTAAGGCACATTAATATAAATTGTACAAATACAGAATTCTCAATATGTTTATAAATAAATATATATTTAGCAGTTTTATATTAGGTAGATCATTTTGACCTGGTCGTTTTATAAGTAGCTCACATGTTGAAAAAGTGTGGGTACTCCTGATGCAGAGTATGACTAAATAAGATTGGTCTTGACAAAATCTGAATGCATGTTAATACAGAGCTTTAGAAGTCTTACCTGCAAGGCCTTGACTTTTTTGCGTGACGCTCGTCTCTGAGTGGCTTCTTTCTGCACTGCAGCGAAAGCCAGAGAGAATTTCTCCAGACCGACCAGCTTCTTCAACAGCTCGATCAGCTCCTGAGCCAAGTTCTTCAGCGTGGGGTCTGAAAAAAAAATGACCAAAGTCATGCAAATGTGTGTTTTTGCCACGTAGTTGGATTGGATGAGGTAGCAGCATTATGCTTAACAGTTCTGTTTGGCATTCAGTAATGATAGATTTTTTGCATGCAGCTTTTAAAAGGTAAATCAATACAGGTTATAAAGATATACTGAGATGCACTGTGCATAAAATTTATTTATTTATTTATTTAGTAAATAAAGGTATACGGAGTTACTTTTAGTTTTTTCCAATTGTAATTTTTTAGGTAATGATGTGATTGTTTATTTACAAGTCTGCTTCCTCTGCAGGGTAAAAATTGCAACTTTTGCTTTGACTCTTCTCAATTTGTTTATCTTTAAATGTTGATTTGTTTTACAGAAATACAACTATGTTTAGGGACTGAGCACCAGTGGTGTGTAGGCCCTAATGAAATTGCTCCTATTATCATTATTATTATTGATTTGTTCCGGAATGAATCAAAATGTTCTGGGTCTGAACATGCTCAAAACCTCACAAAACTTTGCACACACATCAGAAGTGGTAAACATTTACGTTTGATATAGCTTTCAGAAGTGTGTGTGGTAAAGAGGCTCGACAGTAACGTTCAACGAAGTGCCTCGCAAACTATGTTTCATGCACGCGCACACATCAAACAAGCCAATACCTACAAGAAAGTCTCTTGGAGCTAAATTTAAAACCCAAGAGGAAGTTGGACATTTTTATGAATTATAACTGTATTTTTTTAAGATTAAAAAAATTATTTAAAAAAATAAATAAATATACTTTTTTCACATAACTGGAAGGTTAATTTGCAAATTTTCTGAAAGTCTGAGTTTATGCATCTCACAATTCTGGATTTTATTATACAGAATTGCAACTATTTCTCACAAATGTCACTTTATTTCTTTTAATTCTGTTTTTCCTTGTTCATAATTGCAATATATAATTTAAGATATAAAAGTTGCAAGCCAAATTAGATGAAGCCTGACAGTAAATGTCAGAATTTGCGAGATGTTGACCACTCCAAGAAAGTAATAAAAGATAAATGATGCCATGAAAAAACAAAGTTCCACTGTTATGAACAGTTTCCTAAAATAATTGAGTTTTTGTTCGCTTGTTTCTGCTTTATGAACTGACCTTGGTCTGCATATGTGCTGTCCAGTTCTCTATAAAGAGGAGCGATGATTGTGGTGAGATATGGTCCAAGACGATCTTTTCCAAGATCCACCGCTATGGCTCCCAAGAACTTAAAAACACAAGTTCTCTACAAAAACAACAGACAGGTGGGTTTACATCAGCAAAACACAAATACCTTTCAAGATATTTAAGCAGAAAGACAGGCTTAATGTCCACCTTGAGTGGCACTTTGGGTGTGTTCGCCGCTTCTCTTTTGGCCAGTAATGAAAGCTTCTTCATCACCCAGAGGAGAGACGGAGGTTTGTTGTCGTTCTGTTGCTCCTCGAGCTTCTGCTCCTGTTCTCCTCCATTGGTCTCAGTGTTTTCTGCCGTTTCCTCCTCTATATTCTCTTGTTCTTCAGGTGGATTTACGCTATCAGACTCTGGTGAGATCAGGTAGATCACTTTGGCCACATAGAGCAAGTTCTTCACCACCTGATAAAAGATTAAATCACAATTAAAATCATACTGCAAGAATAATATGAATATTTATAATTATTTAAAAAATGTTAATATGAAACCAGGGATTAGACATTTTAATCACAGGAGTACAATATTAGGTACTTAATTTACAATTTCCAAAAATCATATTGAAAACTCCATAAAAACATAGAAAGTAACTAAAAACAATGGAAAAGGTCAAATTATATGAACATTATATGAAAATGTTTTTTTTATTTAATAATTTGATTAAATATTTTATTAACAAAACAATTGACAAAATCATTTTTATATATAACAATGCACAAAAAATATTTAAACATGAAATATGATTTCAAATGCATTTATTGTTAAAATTTAATTACATATTTAATCATTGTTATTATTATTATTACAACTACTACATTTCTGATCAAAAAAAAATTCTATTAAACAATAAAATAGTAACTACTTATTTTCAATCAGATATTTATCATCATAATAATATGAATTTATCATAATAATAATATGAATAATAATTTTTCATTATTTCCTACCTGCTCCCCTGCAGAAATATCCAAGAACTTGGACTGCAGTTGATAACAGAAGGCCAGAACCAGCTCTCTCATCTGACAGAGCAGAAAGAAAACAGTCACATTCACTACTTTACTCAATCTTTCTATAACCAATGCTTTAAATACAGTTTCTTTCAGGCTCTTGCCTTCTTATACAGGTTGTCAGTGAGGAAAGCAGTGGCCACAGGCGGTGTGCTTTTATCTGTGTTCTCCATAGAGCCCCATAAAGCCAAGAGATCCTCTGGTTTGTGAGCAGCAAACAGCAGACCAAAGATCTGAGACGCGGTCAGCCAAACCCAAGAATGAGGATAGCGCAGATGAGAATCAATATGACCTGCATAAAGAGACGCAATGATTTCACTTCATTAAATAAACAATGTTAGAAGCCAACAGCCATTGACTTCTATAGTATTTTACTCCTACTATTGAAGTCAATGCATACATCACAATAATGTCCCTTCATTAAAGAAATAGTTCACCTAAAGATACAAATTCAACTCATCCAGCACTTTTTTAAACATGTTTCTTTATCCTATTGAACAGTACACAAGAGAAGACATCCTGAACAACATTAGAAGACAGCAGCCATTGACTTCCATAGGATTTTACTTCTACTATGGAAGTCAATGGCTATCCATTTGCAGCATTCTTTAAAATATCTTCTTTTATGTTCAATGGAAAATTTGGAACCACTTAAGGGTGAGAAAATGTATTTATTTTTGGGTGAACTGCTCCTTTAAAAATGACTTTAACAATGACTCTGCATTTATACCCCAGATTTGGTTGAGCAAGTCCGCAGGTTTTTTGAGCTCCAGAAAGCCGCACTCTTTGATGAGTTTGACGATGAACGTAAGATAACAGAATAACAGTCTGTCCGCAGCTTTTTCATCTTCCTCTTCCTCAATCTGATGGATCATAATGTAAAATCATAGTTAATACACTCACAACAAGACACATAAGCTTAGAAAGTCAAGGCAATTCAGTCACATTTGCAACTGTTCATTGTAAACAGGAGTGAATGTGTGAATGAGCTTTTTTCGAGATCCTATTTAAGTGTTCCAAGGATAAGTCTGCTAAATTTCAACACAAAACACCTCAGATTATTTATTATATAATGCTTTAAGTGCTCCTTTTTGGGTGAAACAAAAACATTTTTCTTTTCAAATGCAAATGAGCTACTAGGCCCAGATCCTTTTCCCAAACCTTTACGTCTCATGCATCAATTACTCCAGCAAACAAAACCTGCATGTGTCTTTAAAGTCTTGTCA